CCCTTGAGCGTCTGTTGGTGCGTACCCGTCGCCGTATCCCAGAGCCGGATAGTCTGGTCCGCCGAACCTGACGCAAGCGTTTTCCCATCCGGTGAGAACGCCACCGCCCAGACGGAATCGCTATGCCCCTCGAGCGTCTGTTGGTGCGTACCCCAGCGGGTTTCAACACCTGTGGCCGATTTGATAAATGATAGCCTTTTCTTCCAATACTGCTTCCTGACCTCACTTAATATTGGACTAAAGGCAAGTGCAGAACCGTATATCTGTAATGGAGCCCGTTCCATAATCGATCCATGACTGCGAATAAACTTTTCTGTATCCTTTAGTAATTCAACAAAATTAGAGGCTGTATCAGGCTGGAGCTGGTAATAATTAGTCACTGTACAGTAATATAACGGTATAATCAACTGACCTGGGCAGCGTGCAGAAGCTTTCTTATCAATAATACCCCATCTGAGAGTTTTCCCAGTAGAGATAAAGCCTCAAGCCAGTGGAGAAGGTGTTCCTTCAGAAACCCAAACACCTTTCCGCTATCCGTTAGCTCTCTTGAACTCTCAGGGTTCTCGTCGTTCCGGAAGTAGAGATGGTCGGCCCAGAACATGCAAGGGTACCGTATTCGTGCTAATGGGTCTAGATGGGGGGGGTTCATATCGTTTGGTTTGAAGCCGAAGTCGAGATTGTACATGTTTTGCCTTAAGTCGGAGGACATAGCGTCAATTGAGCGCTTGCCGATGTTCGCATGCCCTTGTGCAACCCCAGCTGGCTGAAGCTTCAATGTGAAATTCCTCTCTAGGTAGTCCTTGGCCGACTGGTGGATTAAATTGACGTTTTCTCCGATGACCGTAAGGAACGAGCCGCACATCTCAATAGCCGTTTCCGCAACATCAAGTGGTAAATCAACAAGTGCGGCAAGCTCGCAGAGTGAAAGAGGACGGAAGGAAAGAGTTGTGGCCGCCAAAACCGTTTTACAGTCTTGGGGATCTAACAGTTCTCCACTCTCAATCCTGGTCATCATGTGATCATACAACTTCGACAAGCCAGGAGGTATCTCTCTGATGCGCTTGACGGCGGAATGTCCATGCACTGTGTCGAGAACTTTGAACGCGAGAGCTACCCACAGGAAGATGTTCTCTGCTCGTTCGTGGACTTCATGTGATACCTCGGCTAAAACGCTGTCGTTGTATCCTTTTTTGCGTTTGAGGAGTATGAGCTTGTGGCTGATGTATGCGTTGACAGGCTCTGCCAGAATGTGAGTATCCAGTTCGACAAGGGTCTCCGACGTATCTAGAGAGTCGGTGCCCAGATTCTTGAGCTCGGTGAGAAGGTCGACTTCTGGACGGCTAGAAAGCAGCCATTTCACCTTCTGGGAGAGAGCGAGGGACGTCGAAATGAGACGGATGAGTTCCGGTCGGTCCTCCGCACACTCATCAAGTGCGTCGACAGCGAGGTACACAGGCTGAAGTAGAGGATCTTTCAGCATATTCCGAAATGCCTCTGACAGGGCGTAGAAGGCATTTTTGTCCTTGAAGAGTCCGGCGCCTGAATCTTTATACTTTTGAAGTATATGCGATATGAGATGTGGCTGCTGGAGAAGGAGAAGCCAGATCAACGACCGGAGGACGGCTGTGGCGTTGTTCAGGGCCGTGTCTGTGCCCTGGCAAAAGAAGAAGGAAACCCCTGGTGCTATCGTGGCCGGTTGACTGGAGAGTTGGCGGATGATACCGATCATAAGCATCGTTTTGCCCGTGCCAGCATATCCCTTAATCCAAAGCAATCGACGTGGCGGGTAATCGGATCCGGCGTCATCCCAGCTGGTGAACGCCGCGTACTCTGGGGTGCGAAGGATCCACTTGAACGCGTCGTTGAGCAACTCATCCTTGCTCTTCTCGATCCGCTCCATATCGTGTTGCGGGTCAACGATACGGAGATCTCTGCGGCATTCTGACTCGATATCATCCTTGCGGGCATCCTTCTGCAGCAAGATGAAGTCCCGAATGTCCCGATGGATATCGCCGAGTCGCTCTTCCATGTCCTTAGCGCGCTTGACGAGTGCCCCCAGGGAAGATTTCGTCAGCTCTTGGGAGTATTGGGCTGCATCATCCTGAACAGCCGCTTCTGCAGTGATGACGAGCCCCAGATCACCGTCCCAATCGTCCAAACTGAGCATGGCGCGAAGGAAACCAAGACTTTGGTTGCGATAATACGAACAAACACTCTTCATCTGGTACAGGAGAAGAGCTTTATAGAGCTCGCGAACCCTCTTCTCCAGCTGATTGAGGACCGGACTGAACTCGTTGCTGTTGTTCTCGTCCAGGAGATGTTTGGTCAGGGCGCAATACCAATCCATTCTGGAGATAACGTGGGCGATACCGGCAAGGTTGGTTCTTGTCGCTTGTGCAGGATTCCGCAGCATCTGGGCGTTTGTCAGCAAAGCGAAGACACGATAGAAGGACGATTGCTTACCTGCAGCCCAAGACAAACACCGGCCCATGGAAGTGCAGCCGGCGCGGCTTGGGGCACGCTTTGGAGTACCAAATCGACCATTTCCTTGGCGGACAGGACGAAATCGGCGACATCTCCCACCCCGGCAGTTATCCTAGAAGCCTTGGATATTTTCTCCTGGCCCTTTTGAACCAACTCCTTCATGTGCTTTTGTCGCGTGGTTGGATCCTCCAGCTTAGCTCGGGCGTCGGCTGTGGAGGGCTCACTGGTCTCGCCGCCGAGAACTTTCTCCAGAATTTTCACGTACGACCCGACAAGCTCTGCATCCTCCAACTCAAGGCTGTCGTACGCGGCGTTCCACAACCTCTCAGACGTGGAAATGGCAGGGGTTGGTTGTTCTGTAAACTCGGTCGCTGTTGGCTTGTTTTGGGGCTCGACGGGGAGTTCTGGAGACGAAGATTGTGACGCTGCAGTTAGCTGGCGACAATCTGTTATCGCCGCCTCTGTGCTGGGTCGGGCTGCCTGAGGGTCGGCGGCAGACGGGGAGAGAGGAGCGCATGGCTTTGCTGCAATAATTGAAGACGCTTTCGATCCATGTTGCGCGGGTTTCTGCTCGGACTGGACGTCTGCCGGAAAATGTGAGCTACGAGAAGGCTTGCGTTACGGCGCCGAGTCTCAACATACCCACTGACTGCGCGCTAGACGAAGCCGGCGACGCTGTACCACGACCCCGGAAGAACTCTTTTAGCCACTTCCTGCAAGACTTTGGCATGTTTCCGGTTGAGGTATAGTAGCTTGAACAACGATCCTTGCCAGGGAGGAGAGACGGTATTGCGATGATGGCGACGACAAGATTGACAGCAGCATTCTGCCGGGTTATCGGGCAGCGGTGGCTGAAAACTGTGGTCTGACTTGTTTGGCTGTCGATTACCACGACACTGGTGTGGCGGGGGTTATTGGCGAATGGCGGCATAGTACAATCGCTTCCGTTGCGAGACAACGTGAATCCAAACTCAATAGCGAATTTATCGTAAAGATGAGAGACAAGACATTCCGGGCTAACTCTCTGCGCGAGGATGGCAGGCGACGCGACGAGCCGAAGCCATCGTGCACGAAGTCGCCGGGTTCGTAAAGAGAAAAAGTTGCACCAAATCTCGATGACGGGCGATCCGCCCATTTCTCTGGCTAAGGGGGGTGGGAGACACCCCGCGCCCCGCGTCATCCAGAATTCGCCAGCCTCAGAAGCTTCGCATCATTCAACACAACCATACAGTAGCGCCTAACGGAAAATACTGTAACCTTTAGCCCTAAGGAGGATAAAAATTTCACGCATAGTAAGCTTTTCTAACCTGGGCGCGATCTCCCATCGTTGCGCGCGCCAATTGCATCCAGTTCCAGAGCTCCTGGCGACGCGCCAGCAGCTGACTCCCGGTACGCTCGCAATCCACGCATCATCACGAACCAGCACAACGACTTATTCGCTCCTCAATACTAAGCGCGGAAGCCTTAGAAGCACGCCGAGACCTCCAAGTTACACACGATATATCCCGAGGGAAAGGGATCACTACTCGACCCTCTTGAACAACCCTGCCCGGTGGGCAGGCAGCACCCCCGAACTCTGAGCTTATCTATGCAGAGAATGCGATCGTTCACAAGGTGGAAGATATGCGGGCGGGCGCGGAAGCGCTTGCCCAAATGGCATCCCCATGCTAGGAGATTCAGGTTGCGGGCCGGGTGCGCAACGTCAATATCCTGGCTCCTTTGGTCGGCGCCGCCAACTGCCCGACGTGCAAGGCTGCAGAGCGCGAAAGCTTCGGCGCTATACGTAGCCTTGCCTACGACACCATGTACTTTGCCTTCGACACCCTTAATACATGGCAGCCGGGCAAGGACGTGTCTCTCAGTATCTCGCTACGTGCCACCAAATCGTCACCCTATCACGTAGTGGGATTCTGTAAAGCCGTCTACAAAGCGCCGCGCCAACCGCCCGCTTCGAACCCGGGAGCCCCTCCAAACCCGTGGTTTGAACGGGTACGCCGTGGCCCGACTAGATGGCTCAAGAGCTGCGAGATGCCAGATATGACTTTCCCACAAGTCCCTGCCGTCACGGACCTTGAGCTATGTCGGACAAAGGGCGTTTGGTGGACCGGCGTCGCGGTGCAGAGGCTGCTTTACCTCTTGCCCAGGATACGGGCGTTGCGTTGCGGGGCTATGTCTCACTGGAGCGAACAGTGTAAGTTTGGTCTTTCTCAGTTCGGGTTGCTGGGTATGAGCTGACAGATATTATCTAGTAACTGGAACCATTATCCAGCAGCTTGGAGCCTTCCCCGCCGATATCTCCAAGCTTGTTCTCTTCGGTGACTACTCCGATGGCACCTTCTTTCGGCTACTCAAGGAAAGTTGCGGTGGCCAAGTCAAGAATCTTCCTCCCCGGCCGACTCCGACCTATGCCACAGGCAGGGCACTTGCTCGGATAGGCTCCGCGTTCCCAAAGCTCAAACACCTCTCGGCCTCCTTCGTCGTAGAAGGGGCCGACGTTTTGAGAGTGATGTTCGAGCTATGCACACCACCGTACGCGACTCTGGTTACGCACAGCTGGAAGACACTCGTGTCCCTCACGCTCACCTCAGGGACCCTCATCCCCGGCCGCAGAAACTACGCAAAGATAAGTTCTCTGCTGAGAAACGCCGCTGCCACCGCTACCGCCCTCCCAGCACTTCAACGCTTGGAAGTGTGGAACGGCGCGGAAAGTACGGCATGCGCATTCCGGTATTTGGGGGCATCCTTGACTGGGGGACCTAAACGGGTGGCGCATCTCTCCTGGTGAGCGACCTGGTACTTCCGGCTGCGGCGTTCGGTGGTGGATAGTTGGACGCAGCTGGCGTTCAGTCGCGGGGCCCGTAGGCTGAAGGTTACCCGGTGGTAGTTGTGTATTAGGGTACGTCGTGAAATCAAGTGTCGTGAGGACGCTCTTCACTACCTTGGTTTTTCTCGCGATGTGCTCGACGCTGGTACGTAGTAATTGTCACCTGGGACTGGGCTAGCTGGGGGGTTGATGAAAGACGGGGGTAGTGGCTTTACATAGAATGGTTTTTGTTTCTGCGAATTTCAGTTAGTGTAGAATTAGTTATTAGTCGTCAGCTTGTCGAGGAAAACCCGAGCTTAGATCGGCGTTGCTCCAGAGACAGGTTTCCTTTCGAAGCTAATTACGAAGTATCCGTAATTAGTGTACGAATAGAATGTTCGATTTCTTTTTCCAATCTTTTTTCTTTCACCAAAGGTGTGCTGAATTCTCGAATAACCCACTCTAACCTAACCGACAATCCCGGCATCACCGAAAGTTGTTCGTCGTCCTTCATCTTCTTTTGCGGGTAGTTGTGGATTCCCGCTCTCCCGCTCCATCGCGAGAATCTTTGGCGGAGGTTAAGAAATGTAACGCTGGAGAAACGCTTTGGTGGACGTTCCCGTTCCCTCGTGTCGGGCATGGACCCACTTGCCGATTGAGAAGAGCTGCCCGAGCCGAACGGCACCTTAGCCCCGCTAGTTTAGATGACATGGCCAATGGGAGGCAGGCCTGGGAAAGAGAACAAAGAAATGGGAAATTCGAAAAATGAACAACACGCGGGTCGGGAGAGCAGGCTCTCAGCCTGATTCGCGTTCCTGCAGCCTTTCATTCCACAGCCACCCACACCAGTTTGCCCATTCACACACACGCACGGCATGGCACGCAAGGCACGGCAACCAAGGTTCGGAGGGGAGACGCGCCGCGTTCCCATGAACCACCCAAACGCGTAATAATGGCGTAACTGCGCATAAACCCTGAATTGCTGTTCCTGCAGCAGAAGGGAAAATCTTTCCTGGGCTGCATAATAGGTAGTGTAGCTTCCCCCAAGCGGCGGCAAAACAGCACATGTTCTTCGTTTCATGACCAAGCTCCCCGAGAGTGGAATGCGGGGTGTTAGCTCACGCCTCGCATCGCTAACTATCACTGGATCAACCCAACCACCATGAGCAGGACGTGCTTCCGCCCGCCCGCTCTTCCCCTCCCCCTCTCATCACCCTCGTCCAGTGTACAGGGGGAGAAGAGGAAAGAAGAAAATTTGATCACAAGCCAGGCCAGGGAACAAGGAAGGAAGAACAGCCTGTTGGGTCGGTGCCTAACAACAAACCCCATCGCATCCAAGAGAGAGAATCGCGATCTTCCTACCGTTTCTCGACGGGAGAGAGGGGAGGGGGGTCACGGATGGGGAAGATCTGGCTTTGCTTGCTTACCCCCTGCTTCCTCCCGGGTACCCTCGTTCGCGGATGTTCCGGAGAGGGACGCTAACGTTAACGGACCACAACTTCCACAGTGTAAAAGTTTCACACGGTTTGTCTGTCCTGTGGATTTTTTTGGGCTGTCGTCGGTCGATATCGAGCAGGGGAGGTTCCTGCCACCGGCCGACCGGCTTTTTTTCTTTCACAGCTCGGGACGATGGAGGCACTGGGGAAAAGCTCGCTTGCTAACGTTAAACGCGTTAGTGAGCGTGAGTAGCGAGCTGCAATTTCCCAGTCTTCTGGAACGGCCCCCTGTTTGCGGAGCTCGGGGTTGGCACGGTGTTGCTGTGGTATCATCGTGAAGTGTAGCTGTGTAATTGATGGCTGGGAGACGTACTATGTACAGAGTGACGATGACAAGATGAGAAAGTGATGAAAGAGTGACTTGGATTGCTTGGTTGTTTGAGGGGTTGTCTGCTAGTTAACTGCAGCGAGCTGATATGTGTGGGCGCGGCGGAGATTCTCTATGAGTGGGCAACGGCCCGACAGCGGGAGAAGAAAACAAGAATGTTCAAAGACCGTTGAGGGCTGAGTGAGCAATGGATCGATCTCCCGCCTCGCCTCGCCTCGCCCCGAGCTGCGGTTCATGGAGCAGGCGTTTTCCTGAACAAGATTCTGGCCCCCTCCGTCGCCCGGCCGTTCCTGTTTGTTCTTCAGCGGTGCTTAGTAGCAGCGTCGCAACCGTATCCATCGTTGGTATGAGGATCGATGGAATTTTCGTCGAAGCAGTGGTTTTGGTGTAACGCCGAGCGTTCAGCCAATGCCGACAGAGCCGTCCATCTCCGAGTCCCAATCTTTCCTGTTCACGCCCTTCCCCTCTCAGGTTTCAACCCTCGCTGACGCCGAAGTGACCGAGAGCAGGAGGACGAATTTAGATCACCATTTGCTGCCCAAGCTCCCGAGCTTCCGCCAAGATGGACATGCCCCTGTTTCCCTTGCCCCCCCAAACGATCAGCGAACGTGCGTGCGAACCCAGGAACTCCACTGTGGACGGACGGGAAGGTCGCTCGCGGCTCTCGGTTGGGGTTTGCGGGCATTGCCTGCCGCAACGCTCCCGCTGGCTGCCAATTTCGGACTGTGTGCAAAACTCGGTGGCCCGAGCCCCAAAACGGGCAATCTGAGCCCCTGTTTGTCTGCCTTTTGTGGATTTGTCGACGGGAGAACAAGTTGGACTCGTAAGACAAGTCGCGGCCCGCTCGCTCACTCACTCGGTTCATCATTTCTGTTCATCAAAAATAACTCCGCGACCCACGAGAGACTCAAAATTAGCATCGTGGGAAGACCCGCTCTCACGTGGTACTCCTCTCTCTCGTGGTGGCAGCGTTCATTTATATGAGAAGAATTGGAAGTCACAGACTTCTCGACGCTCCTCGTTTCCCAAGAACCGCGGCGGCTTGGCGGTTCGACGTTTTGGGATGGAAAACCGCCGGGGGCCCCTTTTAGGGTGGAGCCACAAAACGTCAATCGGCAAATTAGCGCGAGGCATTATTGGCACAATTGCACCGTCAAGCGTAGGCCCATTGATTGCTCCGTCTGTCATGCAATGCCGTTTGGGCCAACGTCGCAGAACCGGTTGGGATTTCTTCGAAGCGAAGTCTCTGAAACCGCACCACTTTTTTCTCAGAATCTGTTCTGTCTTCACGAAACTGGTTTTATTTTCTTCGGCTGCCTGGAAGTTGAAGTTTCGTCAGACGAGTGACCTCATCAAGCTCATCTTTTACCCACCTCGACGACACAGCACAGGGCAACACCGCTCCGGGTCCCCTGTCTCCGAATGATAGACATATCCGTCCCGTGAACGCCCCTCCGTCGCGAAGTCAAGATGTGCCGTTTTGGGGGTTCCGTCTGTGGAACCTGGCGGAGCCATGATCGTGCTCGAGCCACAGAGAGCTGATGTGTTCTGGTGTTGCGATTTGTCCTTGACGATTTGGAGGGGTCAACAACTCGAAACATGCCCCCTTATGTCCTCCTTCTTATTGACGAACGGCGAACGTGCATGTTCGCGCGCTGCGCGTTGAATTTTGACACTGCCGCGATTGGGCGCATGCCGCGTTTCTTGCGAATTCCCCCTCAAAAATAGCGGGTTTGGCTGATTTAGTGACCAATGACACGTGCTGCGTTTGAAGACAGCTTCTTCTTGGCAACAGCCGGACCGTCCAACGGACGCAGCCCACCGGTTGCAGGTGATGGGATCTTCCAGTGGGCAAGGCCTAGGCTGATGATTGAACGGGAGACGGGGTCACAATTCGGCTGGGCAACCCACCGGGATATTGTCGATTCCGGTGATGGGTAATGGGCAACAGAAGTCGAGGGGCGAATTGATCAGACGCGAAAACAAGAGGTTTTATCAGAAACGGAAAGAGAGCGAAAAGAGGAACACGGCAGTGGTGGCCACCGGCCAGCCATCGCCGCTTGTCGCTTGCTTCTGAGACGTTTGCTTCCCACCGGCGTGGTAACTCGACCAGGACCCTGGACGTCTGGCCAAGCAGCTGGGGATAAGCAGTGCGTGCGTGCCACCGCCCGGCACAGCACCTGAGAAACCGCGCGCAGATTCGCGCGCTCTGTTTCCCAATAAGCATTTCGTGGGTGTGATCTTTGTCGCATCCCATTTTGCTTTTTCACTCCTCCTCAAACACGGACGAGGCTCAAATTGTGCTCGAAAAGAGTGACACTTTCGCCGGGCCGCTAGCGAAATTGGGGTGACCTTTCTCTCTCTTTTCTTCCTTCTCGAATTCCATCCGACGGGACCCTGGCTCCGGCGATTCATGCAAAGCAGCAGTGGCTCCATTTCTCGCCCGCAGCAGCCCACAGCAGCACTGAACGGCAGGCGCTCTTCCCTCGCATTCGGCGGAGCACCCCCCAATTCCAAACCTTCCGAAACCACCTCTCTCTCAACCCTCACAGCTTAGGTTGTATGAGAAAAGGGACTCGTTGACTCCCTGGATTTTTGCATGTTCTGCCCATTTCTCAGGGCTAGCGTCTGTCCTTCTTTTTTTCCGTTTCGCCTGCCTTTTCTGCGCCCAGCTCTTCTTTTCCAGCGGCAGAAATAGACACCCGCGAAACCCGCATATCCGGCACATCGGGGCTCCTCAGGTTACCAGGAACCGGACCTGTCTTAAAAAAGGTTCCTCGACCACACCGACAACCCCCGACGACGCCCAAAACGTCAACAACGCTTCTGTCCTCGATCTTTATTACAGACTCGCATTGGACAGGGTCATTTGACGAGGCATTCCGTCCTTCTGGAAAGCCAATTTCGATCTTTCCTGGCACCCGCTGCTTCGGTTCGCGCTAACTGGGCCTCCTGTTGCAACCCCCAGCCCAAGAGAGGAGCTCCGTTTTCCCACGGGCCCTTGCTGCGAAAGTGGCCTTCGGCCTTCCCACCCGTCGCGCGAAAGATCCTGGACTCGGTCCTCCTCCCCAAAACCCTGCCACCACCACCACCGGCCTCCTTTTTCTCCATCTCTCAGTCATTTCATGTCGCTCCTTTTCTGAGTCAATAATACTCGTCCACTCTTTTGATCTTGATTTTCTCCAACTATTTTCACTCCTTGAAACAACAAAACCACAGAACACAAACACCAGATCCCGACGACACACCATTCGATTTTCGGCGATTCGTCTCCCATACACACACGTATCAATCCCCTCGAACACCACGACGACGAGTACCGTAGCTTGTTTCCAGGACGGTTTCGCTTTCGATTCATCACACAGTCGCCTCTGAATGCTCCGGTAAATCCTTGGTGGCTCTTTTGTGAGAGCCCGCTGCGTGCAGTTCGTCCCGTCGCGGCGCGTCAGGGTCCAGCATCGCCAGTTCAGACGAAAAGGTCCGAGTTGCGGCTCGACCCTGAGATTCACACACACATTTCATTTTCTCCGACAATATGACAGTAGCACAAGATTTGACCCGGCGGGGGTCTACCCAAGTCATCAACGGGATGGCTCTTGAGGATAGGTTTGAGGTTCTCAAGGAGATTGGCGATGGGAGCTTTGGCAGCGTCGTACTCGCCCGGGTACGGAGTGCTGGCGCCAGTGTCGCTCGCCGCGGCACAGTGGTACGTTGATTGTTCTATTGTCCTTTCGCGAAGCTTGAGGTTCACTAACCTTGTACCAGATTGCCATCAAGACGATGAAGAAGACTTTTGACTCCTTCACAGCATGCATGGAGCTGAGGGAAGTCGTGTTCCTGAGGACACTACCAGCCCACCCCCACCTTGTTCCGGCCCTCGATATCTTCCTCGACCCTTTTAGCAAGAAGCTTCACATTGCCATGGAATACATGGAGGGGAATCTTTACCAGTTGATGAAGGCGAGGGACCACAAGTGCCTGGACAATGGCAGTGTCAAGAGCATCCTCTTCCAGATCATGCAAGGTCTTGAGCATATCCACGCCCACAGCTTCTTCCACCGCGACATCAAGCCCGAGAACATTCTGGTCTCGACTTCGGCCCACTCCGACTACAGCAACTCCTTCAGGCGGTACTCTGCTCTGGTAACCCCGCCATCAACGCCGCCGACATACACCGTCAAGATTGCCGACTTTGGGTTGGCACGCGAAACGCATTCGAAGCTCCCGTACACGACTTATGTGTCTACTAGGTGGTACCGCGCACCAGAAGTCCTGCTGAGGGCCGGTGAATACTCCGCTCCCGTGGACATCTGGGCTGTTGGTGCCATGGCGGTAGAAATTGCGACCCTGAAGCCTCTGTTCCCTGGTGGAAACGAGGTCGACCAAGTGTGGAGGGTGTGTGAGATCATGGGAAGCCCCGCGGTTTGGACCAACAAGGCCGGTCTTCCCGTTGGTGGTGGTGAGTGGAGGGAAGGGACGCGCCTCGCTGGGAAGCTCGGGTTCTCGTTCCCCAAGATGGCGCCTCACTCGATGGATACGTTCTTGCCAACCCCTCAATGGCCCGCCTCGCTCGCTCGCTTCGTTACCTGGTGTCTCATGTGGGACCCCAAGAGCCGCCCTACATCGACGCAAGCGATTTCCCACGAATACTTCACCGACGCTGTGGACCCCCTGCGCCCCAAGTCATCAGCCTCCAAGATCCTCGGCCGGAAGCAATCGGATGTGAGCAGGGGAAAGGATTCCGTTTCTTCGGCGTCAACGGCGTCGAAGCCATCATGGTTCCGCAAGTCGTTGATTGGGCGCACTGAGAGTGTGGAGGTGATGGCGGTCGCCGCGCAACCTGCTGTTAAGGAAGCTCCAGCTCCAGCTCCAGCCCCTCCTCGCGCTCAGCCCATGGTCGCCCCTGAGCCCCCCGCGCCGAAGCCCAGGCCGGCGGCTCAAAAGAGGTCAACATGGACCAACGGCCCATCAAACGTTGCGCCCATGCCTATCCTCCCAACTATCCGCCCAATCTCGCCGCTATCCGACGCTGTGACTGCCCAGGCTAACAACAGGGCTCCTTACAATGACGCATACGCGAATGGTGTTCGGGTCTTGCCGGTGGAGGAGAAGGGTTCCAAGAAGATTGGTCGCCAGTTGTCGGTGCAGTCCAGCACCAACCACTACGCAGACATTCACAGGCAACAGGCCGAGCGCGCACTCAACGGGCAGTCTGGCCTTGCCTCACCGACTGGTGGATACAAGGAGAGCTTCTTCTCCCACCTCCGGAAGCGCGCAAGGAGGTTCTCCGGGCGGCATCAGACACCCATCTCGCCTAGCTACGATGATCTTGAAACCCAGGCAGGCTGTGGGCCTTGGGCTGGCAGCAACCGGTCGTCCATGGTGATTGACGGCCCACCTCCAGCCCCCGTCCCAAAAGACACATACGAGTCCCTGGACAAGCGGGTTTCCGAAGTCCCCCCTGCCCCGCCAGTCCATCAGGGGATGGCCGGAGGAGCGCTCAAGCGTCACAACTCTCTGCCTCAACACCAGCCTAGGTCGGTGGACAACCTGACGAGTGCCGCCAGGACAGGCCCTGTGTCCAGCCGGACACGCAGGTCTCATGCCGTCCAGGGTGTCAACCAGTACGATGCTCCCGACGAAGAGGACGAGCTTCTCGATGAGGTCCTCACCTCGACCCACCGGGCCATGAAGCGCATGGAGAAGAACGAACAGAAGCAGCTCCATCTGCGTCAAACCGTCAGCAACGCCGCGATCGCCGACCCATACCCGACCCCATCACCCTCTGCGAGTGGCAACGTCATGCTTTTTGGCGATGCGAAGGAGGCCATCACGCCCAAGCCCTTGAACTACAACAAGCAGGCGGTCGAACACAAGTGGCCAACACCGCCATACGACGAAAACGACTGGGCAGCGTCCGCATCGGCCAGCATCTGGGCAGCAGGTAACCGCTTTTAAACGCACCTTCGTCTATCTCTTGTCATACGCACACGCACACAAAAGTCTTGCCAAGACGGGGTTCATGGGTCGGTGTTGGGGGCTTGTTTTCCTTTTTTGGGTGGCATCATCATACACTTTGGGTCGCATCGCTCATTTTCTCGCGTCCTCTCGGTTTTCCTCTTCGGTGGTATTTGTCAAAAGCGAATCTTCGCACACATTTCTCTCATCTCTCTCACACTCACTCACATTGTTTTGGCCATCAAACGCAGCGCTTTTGGTCGCAGCGATCTTTTGCCGAGCTTTGCACAAGCTTGTTCTTTTCACACTCTTGCGAATACCCCCTGGGGATCGGTATCGCTGTCACTCATCTTTGTCGGACATACCAAGTTCTAATACTTTTGTTTTTCTCTCCTTTTTGTCTGTCATCAAAAATCTGTCGAGTTCTACAACATCTTGCTTTTTTGGGTTTCAACTCGAGCTGCTACAATACCCCCTTTTATATAGATTGGAAGGAGGGAAAGGCCGGAAGGGATATTTCTTGGTCTTGACCTCTCCTTACCACCAAGCCACACACAGACTGTCGTCACTACCGCTCGCTGCGGCCTGTTGGCGATGCTTGTATTTCTTTTTGGTTTTCCTATGTCATCTTTCTTCGAAAACACTTGCGCACCAGACAGCTGTTGTCATTATTAGTTGGGCTAGGGGGAGCGTTTTGGGGGATAGGGATAGGGGATACGGGGAAGGGGGCGTGGCGGAAGGGAGGGAGGGTTGGATGTGATTGGATTTTTTTTTTTGTTGTGTGGGCTGCTGTGTGTTTTTTTCTCTTTACTTCTCTCACTACCTAAGGAGCTATCTATCATCTCTCAGTCCCTTTTATCCTCCTTATTCTCGACACATAAGTACCTATCTACTACCAAACCTTGCTGCGTTACACACACACACGCTTGATTCTTCCCCTTCTTTGCACATACCGTACTCTTACATACTGTATCAATCTTTGTAACCTTGGGGTTTTTGCTGGTGACTGGATGGGGTGTGGGGAATTGGGGCGGGATAGGATACCACGGGATGGGTCGGGAATTTGGTCAACGCTGCTCCTCTGAATCAAGATAATTTTGGGTATGTTGCTTGTCATTGGCTTGCTATGTCTGTCCGTTGTTTGTAATCGTATCGGTACACTCAAGCTCAGATATGTTTGTAATAGTTCAAGGTACAGACGGTCTTGCAAGCTTCGACGATTTGATCGGGCCGTGATACTCAGTTCACAAACTTTGCCCAACTACACTACGTTGTTCATAGTTTAGATATGCAGCTTAAACAATATCCACTCTTGAATAGCCTACATAGCCGCTCATATTGCCACCGGCCTTTCGTCCCCTTAACTACGATGAAGCACGCTCACGTCTTGTTTACCCTGTCTCATCTCCAACCCCCTCTGAACACCCCGACCCATTTCCCCGGTAACCCGCGTTTCCCCCATGTCGCCCACGTCCGCCACGGGACCACGAGACAGACAGACAGACAGAAAGACAAAGAGCCGGGAAGTCGTCGATCAGAGAGAACCCCACTGTCTACATGAGAACTGGGATCGCCTACCCGCTGGTCTCCCACGAGTTGAAGGTTGCTAAGTTTGTATTGTATTGTACGCTAACTAGTTATCCGTAGTGTATGTGACTATCTTGACTACCTTGACTACATAACGACGGGATACCGCACCTTAACCGGGTTCATTTCCGTATGCCGTCTTGTCTTGTGCTCCCATGATATGATCGATCTTCCCCGGGGAACTTCCCGATCAGATAATAGACCCCGTCAATGTCAACGGGTCAGCAGCGTTAGACCCGTAGACGGTAGTGTAGAGTGGACGGCAGACGGTAGACGGTAGACGGGGTTTCCCGCGTCCAAGCTCCCGTTTTCCTCGCAATCTCACTCTTTTTTTGTTCCTTTTTTTGATACCCCATTTTTTTCGCACTCACATCTGTGCCTCTCCAGTCAGTTACCCTTGAGCCCTTTGCGAGGATCATATGTCTCAGTTGAGAATAGTGGACCCGCACGGCTGACTGTGACTGTCAACTGTGCAGGATGTTGATTGCCTGTTTGGGACGGATGGACATGAGGGGTGGCGAAAAATGAGAAAATAGTTCAAAGGGCAAGAAAAGGGGAGAACGTTAGCGGCGCAACCGGTGGCAAGTGGGTGGTGGTACAGAGGCGCTGTTGTCGACGCCCATGCGCCGAGTCGTGGGAGGTGGCGGGTTTGGTTCTTTTTTGGTGTTTTCGCTTTCTGGGTTGGGCGCCGGTGAAGATCATCCGGCAGATGGCTGGTAGTGTACAGGTGGGTTTGTTTTGTTAGTTCGTCAGTGATGCTTTTTGTCTTCTGTTTTTGTATCCGTACACTAGCGTAGCGTATTCCTTTTGGTTTTTTTCTTAACGGATAACCATCCCCCCCCATAAGTTATAACGTTACACTACACCTAAGTCACACAACTACCGGGCGAGATATTTTCTTCTTCCTCGGGAAATAGGTCTCAACATGTTGTGTTCCCAACCTTCCCGGCCGCCTTGCCCGCTGCGGGAGCGGCGTCCGCCAGCCATGCCGTGCGATGATACTCATCTGACTAGGGCGGTTGCGTTGCCAGGCTCCCAGGGTGGCAGGCATATCGCTCATCAGGGGGGAAGTATCCGAGACACGGGGGCGCTGGGCTGTGTTAGTGGGCTCTCACATGTGCTTGATGGAGCTGGTTTGCTTGGCTGTGGTTGGGCTTTTTATTTACGTTACTGCTTTGCTGTGTAGGTGAACATGGCTTCCGTTTCTCGGTCGTACACTTGATGGGCTCATGAACAAATTGAGATGGTTAACTCGTCGGGACAACTAGCAGAGAGGCCGACGTGGGGGATCGGCTGCTTTTTTCACATCTGTGTCTCCCGGCTTTTCACTTTGTCTCTGCCTGTCACACGCCAGACGAACACAAGATGCAGCACGGAGAGATTCTGCGGGATGTGTTTCTGGTTGTTTCTGTTCCTGGAATCGGTGGTTCGCCACTCTGCATCGGGTGGTCGTTTTGGGAAGCCACCCCCTTTTTGGACAAATCTGATCTTGCAGTTTTCTGATCGGACGAGACGAGTGGCGCTCGGTGTGGGGTGAGGCTTGTGGACTTCGGATGTGGGGCATCAAACGGAAGTTAAATTTGTCACCGTGTCGTTCTCTTCGCAGGTTTATCAAAAAAACTGGTTTGCTGATTCTTCCACTTGGATGCCTACGAGTTAGCTGGAGGATGTTCGACTAGTGAACGCACGAGACGCAATAGCATGTCTAGTTTTCTTCACAGCTCGGACTTGCTGATATCACAATGCAACGTCGCAAAAACGCGCCGACGCTCGACATCACGTGACCCACTAAAAATCATAAGTCCCACTTTTCAGGCACAAGGAAATGCCCTGAGGCACTGAGGCTCCCAGCTGAGCGCGGGCAGACCAGACGCATGAAGCACGAGACGGGCTGGACCCCGCATCTGCTTGAGCAGCACCACACCAAAGCACCACCACTGTAGGAGAGCATAGGCAGCAGCATTCGATACGCCAGGACGGCTTCTCACCACCCAGCAACAAACAAACCAGGCTTTGCGTCACGGCATATCCCATCCTTTGCGATTTCAGCCTGTCTTGCTTGCGCCTGGGCGGCTCGTCCCCCTGTATTTCAACGTCATTTTAGCTGTCCTCTTCAGTGTGCCTCAGGGCGCTGCCCCCCCGCTGCAGTTCCGTGCCCCCTGTCAGCCCCTCCTCGCTGGGAAGAAGATTCAAAGTCCCGCTGCCTGCCTCACCGAGGTCGAGTCACGGATTTGGCTTGGCTTTACACAACATCGACGATTAGGTTTGGGGTGTGAGGCTAGTTTTTTGGGGGGATTCCGGTTTTCAGGCAGCCGTTAGGGTTTGGATTGTCGTGGTTTCTTTTTTCGTTTTCGTTTTTGTTTTATTTTGGCCATTTTACGGTGGTTGTACGAGGTGATACTCCGTTGGCCATTTTTTTATCCCGAGCCCGTGAGTCGTGTGTTCTCTCTCAGGGGCGGGAAGTAAACAACGGCGCCCGAACCGTCCGTTTTGGGCGGGACCGGACATTCCCTTTGCGTTATTCTCGTCGTTATTTCCATGCCATGAACCTGTAAGGCGTTACAGTTACAGCAGAGCAGATCGGCCGCCGGCATCATGAGTATCTCTTCACCCCTGCACCCGTCGCCTAGCCAGAGGAATCGGGACAGCAGAAACTATTTCACCAACAGCCAGATCAACTCTGCCGAGGCACTCACCAGCCCGTTACGGGAACTTGCCATTGAGCCGCCGTCTATCAACGACCGGCTGATCGTCGGTGTAGACTTTGGGACTACTTTCTCTGGGTGAGTGGGTCACTTATACTCATACACACTCATACAAACATACACACATAGTGTTGTGAGGGAGTGTGTGTGAGTGTGAATAGCTTCAACTCAAGAAGATAGTAAGCTAACACAGTCCCAGCGTGGCCGCGGTGTACACGGGAACACCAGATGACATCGAAATCATCAAGACATGGCCAGGCGGCAACGGCATCACCTCAGACAAAGTCCCAACCGAAATCTCCTACGACCTCCCCGCCAACGCCCCAGCCGGCACCGCACTAACCGTAAAATGGGGTTTCCAATTCAAGCCTGAAGAGTCTCGCCTCCGGTGCATGAAGCTCTTCCTAGACCGGTCCCAAAAACTGCCCTTCTACGTCAGCCCGCTCGAAACCGCCGCCCAGCTAAAACGGTACCACAAGACGGTCGTCGACGCCGTGAGCGACTACCTGACGCAGATCTACAAGCACACGATGGACACGCTGCAGCGGCGGTATGGCGAGTCGTTCATGGCGTCGACAAAAGTCGATTTTGTGCTGACGTGCCCGGCTGTGTGGTCGGATGCGGCGAAGAATACTACGCTGCAGGCGGCGGAACGGGCGGGCATGGGCGCGCAGTCGCAGATTCAGATGATTAGTGAGCCCGAGGCCGCGGCGGTGTATACGCTCAAGGCGATCCAGCCGAATAATTTGAAAGTGGGGGATAACTTTATTGTTTGTGATGGAGGTGGGGGGACTGTTGAGTAGGTTCTTGTACGATCATTCTTCATAGAAGGAGACGGACTTGCTGACAGACAACAGTCTTATCGCGTACAAGATCGTCTCTCTAAAACCCATCCGGGTGGAAGAGTCGGCGGTCGGGACGGGCGGGCTCTGCGGGAGTGCGTTCCTGAACTACCGGTTCGAGGAGCATGTCAAGGGGCGGATCGGGCAGAGCCGGTTCGACGAGATGAAGACCAAGAAGGGCAAGACGTGGCAAATGGGGCTGCGGTACTTTGAGGAGTTTGTCAAGCGCAACTTTAACGAGGACGAGCACCAGGAGGTTAATGTTCCGTACGTACTTTTTACCCTCTCAAACTTTTGTATATCTCCTTTACTAACTGACTCATCAGCTTCCCCGGCCTCCCCGACGACGAAGAAGCCGGCCTCGACTCCGGCTTCCTCGTCATGACAGGCGACGAGATCAAAGACATCTTCGACCCCGTCGTCAAAGAAGTCTGCGACCTCGTCCAAGGCCAAGTCGACACCCTCCGCGCCAAAGGCGGCGTAGTCTCCGGCATCATCCTCGTCGGCGGTTTCGGCCAAAGCGATTACCTGTACCGCCGCCTCAAATCCCATTTCACCAGCGCGGCGCCCCCACCCTACAGCGAGCGGCCCACCAACGCCAATGTCGACCTGCTGCGGGAACAGGCGTCGTCGTCTATCGAGGTCATGCAGCCCGTGTATGCGTGGACGGCGGTCGTGCGTGGGGCGGTGCTGCGCGGGCTGGAGGGGAATATGGTTATTTCGCGCAAGTCGCGCATGCACTACGGCACGTCGTATGCGACGGTGTATGATGAGGAGAAGCACTCGGTCATGGATCGGTATTGGTCACCGCTGTGGGAGCGGTGGATGGTTTCTGATCGGATGCAGTGGCATATTGCCAAGGTACGTTCCCCCAGTAACTAACCCCCTAAATAACCAAACATGAGAAATCCTGACATGACAACCCCCCCAGGGCGAAGCCATATCCCCCCTGCAACCCATCGCCTTCCACTACACGCGCAACTTCCGCCCGGGCCAATCGCTCCTCGTAACAGACGACCTAATCGCCTGCGAAGCCGACGAGCCGCCACGCGCTTACACGCGGGATTTGGTGAATGTGTGCACGCTGACGACGGACTTGTCGGCGGTCCCGCGCAGTTTGTTTACCCGCCTGACGACGACGAGGGGCGTGGAGTTTGATAATTTGGATTTTACGCTCGAGATGATTGTGGATAGTGCGGGGTTGGGGTTTGAGTTGAAGGTGGATGGGGTTAGGTATGGGAGGGTGGATGCGGAGTTTCATTAGTTTTGGATTTTACTATAGGTGTTGTGTAAGGCCGGTGTCGGGGGGGTCATTGGAGGCGAGAGCCGAAGTAGGATGTGAGAGAGTTCGTGGAGGTGGAGAATTTGTGGTGGTGAGAAGGTTATATGATGAGAAGATGTAAATGAGTGATAGCGAGCAGCAGGCGTTGGAAGCTGGGTTAAGTCGGTATATAACAAAACGGTGGGCATTTGGACAGCAGACGTTGTGCACCGTTATATTCACCGCCCACTCTATGACTCTTTCGTACCATAGTTAAGAAAACTCAGATACCCTTCTCCAAGCGCAGGCTATAAACTAGCCACGGTAGAAGGCCCTAGTCAGGTAAAGGGTGACTGGGGTATATGTATGTACCCCTGACCTAGGTGACGGCACCAGGTAGTGCTGCCCAGTTGCTCGACCCCCTTCTGAACAGGAGTGTCGCGTAACATGTTCACATCGTTGTTTCGAGAAACAGGGGAGGTTAGAGGACTCTCTTGTCTGAGGTAGTTATCTCCTTACCTTCTTTCACATACCTCCTCTTGGATTTCGCGTAATAACACGAGCGAGCGAGTGCTGGGTTCCCCAAGTTAACAACCACCCAACTCAAGAATGATACTAGTCGGGGTGACCGACCTAGTGGGCAGGATACTACTGTAGAAAGTTGAGTGACTGTGGCTACATACTGTATATAATTAACGTATTCCTACAAGCGCTTAGGATTATTCTGTTTCTGTTCAATTCTGTATTATAAGTACTGTAGTAAGCTGACGCTGGAACGAACCGTCCAACCACTCGCCGTCCATCCATCCATCCACCTGGCATTGTTCTCAAGAGGGAACCCAGCCTAGCCCATATTCTAACGGACTCGGCCGCAACGTGCCGCCATATGAAGTGATGCGATGCGAGGTGATGGGGGTAGAGGGGGACGGGGCGTAGTAGAGCTGCTAGCTGACAACCCGTCAAACCAGTCTCACAGCCTTGCCTTGAACTTAAAAGTCAATCTCAAATCCCAAAGTCAACCGTTGTCAACCCCTTTTGTCAGCCTCGCCAAAACGCCTGAACACCACCCCTCCTTTTGTTTCTCCCCATTAGACCCTTCCAGTAAACCTTCCTACGGTATCAAGTCCCCAGTAAGCTTCCCCGAACAACCCTCAAGAACCTTCTTTCAAGGTATCAATCGGACCAGTAACCCCCTACCAAAACATCGCCTTAGCCGCGACCCTCACCAACCACACAGCATCACTCACCACCCCGCCCTTCTCCCCTTCCCTCGGCGGCGGGTCGTTGGTACAGTCGAGAGGTATGACCGTGCACTCCTGCAACCGGCGCCAACTCGCCGATCGTCGCACCTGTCGCTGGCGTTCTGCTTCCGCTTCCGCTGTTACGTCGCACCACCCTTCGTTGTCTCCTTCACTTCTGCTGCGGGGTTTACCGTTCTGGTATGCTTCGTCGTCGGCTTCGTCGTTGTTGACGGTGTCGTCGTCCTCTTCCTCGAAGTCTTCTTCGTCGTCTGCGTACGCGTCGTCGTCGTCGTCTTCACGACCGACGAAGTAATCAAACAACCGGCCAAGAACACCCTTATCCTTCATATATGCCCGCAAATACTCTTCTTCGTCCTCCGAGTATTCTTCTTCTTCCTCTTCCCTTTTAGGAGGGGCAAACCGCTCGGGAAACTCCAGCCGTTCATCCAACCCGATAAAATCCGGCTGCGGCCTCAACGAAGCCTCATGAGCAGCAGCAGCCGCCGCAGCCGCTGCATGAGCAGCATTAGCAGCCGCAATCGCCCGGGAATTGAAATAGTCCTCTCGCACGGCCGGGTCGTCTTCCGCGAGCACGAGCAATTCCGCCCGCCGCTCTTCCATAGGCGTCATCGGCCGACTGGTACGGTCGCCACCACCGGGCCAGCGGCCAGGGAATGTAGCCTGACTTGCACTGCGGGCGCTACCAGGGCCGGTGAGGCTAAGCCCAGCCAGGGACATAGTCAATTCCTCGCTGAGACCGTGACCATGCCCATGACTGTTGGCAAGGCCATTCAACTTCCCCAAATCCCGACTCCCCCTCCGACTCGCCTGCAGACTCCTCCGCGCAGCCCGCAACCGCTGCTGTTCCTCCACGCGGCGGCGCGCCGCCAGCGTTTCCTCGTCCGGGCGATAGGCCGGGTAGGTGTACTCGTAGTCGGAGACACCGACGCCGGGGGTCGACGCGGCCGAACTGTCGCGTGTCGCGAGCCATCCCTGGCCTTTGGCGTCGCGGGCCTCGGAGGCGATCACGGCGCCGACGCGGAGGAGGAAATCGGTGTCGGGGAAGAAACTACTCGAGGAGGATTGGAACGGGCGGGGGGTAGTGGGGGAGTTTTCGGTTGTTTTGGATCGGCGGTGGCTGGGTCGCTTGCTGTTGCGCCGGGGGGTGGAGGAGGGTGTAGAGGGCTTCTTGCTCTTGGTGCGGGCTGCTTGGGCGAGGGAGTAGGGGGCGGAGACGCCGCGGGTGAAGGGCGGCGGGGAGTTGGAGAGGAGGGTGGGTGTGGTGGGCACGGAGCGGCGATGGATGTAGGAGGTGTAGGGTGGGTAGGTGTAGTCTTCGTGGTTTGGGGGGTTGAGCGGTGCGAGGGCGAGCAGACGTGGGTTGGGCTGGAGGGCGGTTTTGCGCTGCGTGAAGGAGGGTTGCTGCGGCAGCTGCTGTTGCTGCGTTGCGGGCTCCATGGCGGTGTAAATATCTGGGGGCATTGTAGAAAAGTCAAGTGGTAGTGTACAAAACGAAAGATAATTTGGAATTTGGGGGTGCCGGGTATGGAACGCCAGCCTATGAGACAAGACGAAAGTTGGGATGGAGGGGCTTCAGACGAAAAGAGACCGTTAAAAGATCGGAACGAAGGTGGGTTTAAGTAGAATGGTGCGAATTGACAGTCTCGCCTTAACATTAACTAACTAGCAAGTTCGCGTCAAACTCCATCGATCAGTGCAGATGCGCTCACCCTTGCAGCTGCCCGCAGGCGTTTGGACCTGAGCGGCGCCATGTGATTGGGTGATCGGACTGGCTCGCCCGGGAGATGGGGCTTGCCTGCCGCCAATGGGGGTCTCGCCCCTGTGGACCATACCGGATACACCCATACGGCTCACGCCGTAAGCGAATATGACCCCGCCCTGTGCAATAAACCGTTCCAAGGACTTAAGTCGTACTTGAATCGTTTTCTTCTGGCTTAGAGGCCCTAAACCGCCTATTTTGTAAACCACTCCGAGGAAAGAGCGGTTGGTTAACCGATTCTGCTTTGTAAGCCGTTCTTGAACGGCTCAAAATTGGGAAACCTTTAAACTTGGGAGCCGTTCATCTACGGTTTATGGGAAAGAGCGAATATCTCCCTGCTGCGGAAACCCCCGCATGATCTTCTGTTTGCCTCGTCACCCTCGGCTTTCAGAGCCCCGCTAATTACCAGTCAAAGTACCTAGTTAGTAAAGAGGCAACAGTGGGTGCTCAAGAAGCGGGGAGCCGGAAGGACGAACTGACCTTGAGTTCCTTTAAGAGATTCCCCAACGCGGCCTGGAACGTAGCATCCCACTTGAGTCTGCCGAGGTTCTGCTGGCACTTGAGAGACTTTTTGAGCGTCTCGATGATGTACTTTTCAGGCATGATCAGCTTTGTCGCGGCCGCCCCGGTGGCAGAGTGCGCCATGTTCCTGAACATGCTGTACATGAGACGTCGGTCCCAGTTGAACTCTTCCGGAATTGTGCTGGTCGCCGCTGCGGTTGGTGGCGGCGCGGGGGGCTCGCCGACATTACCGTTTTCTCCTGCGGCCGCTCCGCCGACATGGCCGTTTACTTCGCTCTCGTCGCTGTCGGAATCCACCTCTCCGCCATTGCCGTCGTTGTACTGGCTGTCGGCGTCCCCAATAGTCGCGGCGTCCTGGCCGTCTTCGTATCCCCCGTCGTCGTTGTCCTCCGCCCGATGGCGCGAGGACGGCGGGATGCCTGAGCCGAGGGCCATTGTGCAGTAAATCAGCAAGCCGGCCAGGCCGACAGCCACCGCGGTGGCGTACGAACTGCCTGTCTGGTGATCTGACGTCCCATCGCTGTCTTTGATGAGAATCTTCTCGCCTGGGAGCAGAAAGTCGATCTGGTCCTCGTTCACTCAGATGGAGGGGAGGTCCGAGGAGGAGCACGAGCCGATGCGGATGCAGTGATGGCCGTCCTGGTTGCTGAAGGCGCCTGGGTAGCAATCCAGGCGGGAACTGCCGCCCTGGTCGCTCGCCGAGCAGAACATGATGATGCCCTTGTCTTTGGCGGCTTTAATGGCTGTTTTCAGGGGGTCCAAGGTATCCTCGCCCGAGGTTTCGATGGTCCAACTCATGCATATGATGTCGACTCCGCACTCGATCACCCACTCGATAGCCTGTTTTTGCCCGCAACCGCGAGAGGGAGTCAGAAACTCAATGCCAAATAATGTCATGATCGCATTGGGGGGCCGCGGGGGGGCCGGGGGGGAGGGCACTCACTCTTGCAGCCGAGAGCGGGTTGATGACTCTCTCGCCACCCCGTAGGTTCTGCTCGTCGAGTCTGGCAATGCAAAGGTCCACCTTGGGGCATATTTGGCAGATCACCGAGGCAACCCGGGTGCCATGGCTGCCTTGCGGGACGTAGTAGGCGTTCATCGAATCCGACAGGGAGGTGCAGAACGAGTTGCCGGCAAAGACCTTGGCGTGGCTCCCGTCGACAATGTGCAGGGCCGAGTCCATGCCGTCGTCGATCACGGCAATCTTGACTGCCTTTGGGTCCTTGCGGGCTACCGTGTTGCGGAAGAAGCTGGTCAACTCCTTGGTCCGAGTGATGCGGCCGCCTTCGCTGTTGTCGACTGGTCAGCACATGCACTATCAGCGGGTACCAATCTGTCCTGGAGCATCGGGAGAGAACTTGCCCCGATTTAACGGCGCGTCTATCCGTCGTCGAGGCGCTCCCTGCCATGCCGCGTGGGATAATGTCAAACTCTACCGTGAGTCCATCCGTCCCGTCAGACGAGTTTGGGGCGTCATAAGTTTCCGCCGTGGCCTCCCGCTTCAAGAGCTTTTCAAGCTTGGATTTAAGTTGGGAAATTTTGTCGGCATGCTGCTGATGCTCGTTGCTGTACTGGGTGGCCGTCGCCGTCTCTGCCAGTTCAATGGCTTGCTGGGCGAGTGCCTGTAGAGCGGATGCTTTCTCCGCGGGCCATTGCGATTTGCGGGTTTCTAGACTGCTTTTCAGTTCCATGCCATACTCTTGCAGCGTCTGTCTGTCTTCCTGGCCCTGTTCGTGACGCAAATTAACTTAAGTGGTCAAGGACGGACTGCGTAGCTACCAGATCAGATATACCTCATAAAATGATACAAAGATGGTAGTAAGCTTGGAGAGATGTCAGCATTTTGGCCTCTCACGAGTCATGGGATGAACCGGAGCATGGCTGCTCACCTTGGGGAATCTGGTCTTATTTGCGAAGCCCTCGGGAGCGCACCACCCTCTCAAGACGGCTTGGTTGCCGGACGAGTGCAGTCTTATCTCGCGCACGTCGACAGACGACATGGCAATGACCTCAGCTGAGAGGTCCATCTTTGTCCACTCCCAGACTTCCACCCTGAAGTCTTTGAGGCACTTGATGATGGTCAAGTCCTGGTCGGATGCTTCTTGTTCCTCGACCGTCACCCTCTCAATCCTGCGAACGTTTCTGTCGTGCAGCCACTGGAAGATGCGGCCAAAGTTGGAAGACTTCTTGCGGCTCAGAGCATCGCTACTCATACTTGCCGCAATCAAAATCCCTGGTCAGTACCTACTCAGCTCTTGTTAGGGGTCCGTATTCTGCTTACGCCTGGTTCGGAGACGTGCCTGCCGTCGGCGGCTCATAGACTAGCCGCGGCAAAGCCACGTACTTGAGGGTCTGCTCAAATCGCACGTGAGTCTCGAGGCTCCTGAGGTACGTCTCGCTGATCATATTGCGCGGGAATCCCAGGAGATCAAACTCGGTCAGGAGCTCTTCTCCCCGACGATACAGGCAGGCCATGACCAACTCTCTCGGGAGGTGCTTGATGCAATAGTAGCTGATGTAAGAAGCGACCGGGTCGTTGATGACATACCGCCGGAAGTCGTCCATGAAGAGATAGTCTCGCACCGACAGCGCCTTGTTTTTGATCAACGTGCTAGCTCTTCCAGACTCGGGTCCATCCCGATGGCCGTCTGGAACAGGGTCAGAATGGGTTGCGCGGTCCCTTTTGAACTGCTCGGTAAGCTGGAAGATGCGTTCTTGGTAAGGAGTCCGGTCAACGGACCGTCGCCCTGCCGATGGCCGATTGTCTACCGGTACTTGACTCTTCACCTCCAGTGTCTTGGGGTGGGCTTCAATTAGTATCTCGATGAGCTCTAGCGCCTCCTTGACATCGAAGAATTGCGGCTCAATGGCATCATTCGAGCCATGGGTGCTCCTGAAAACAGGGGCTGCCCTAATGGCCAGGTGAAGCGCCGTGTTTCCATCCCGGTTCTTGTCCTCAAAGGGCAGGACCGGCTTGGTGCCCGTTTCTTTTGGCTTGTGGCGGCGCATCAGCTCGATGATCTTCTTGATGTCGGCGAAGTTGCTGCGTGTCGTGGAACGCAGCGTGGCATGCAGACAGTAGGGTTCATTGTGATGCCGAGACGGCTTACAGAGGACCTTGCCCAGGTTTGAGGGGAGCGGATCCAGCTTCAGCAGGGCGCTGATGAAGCGGGGGTTGCAGTTGGTGCCGGCGGCGAGGGCCAGAAACACTGGCGTGCCGTCTCCCGGATCGTCTTCGAGAAGCACCTTCAGCCCGCGGCCGCCCTTGGGCTTTTTGAAGATGCGGGCCAGTACTTTTGAGATGTCGTCTAATTCCCATTCCCGGCTTCCCGCCACTAGCTGGTGGAGGATATTGCCTTTGGATACCTGCCAGCTTGTTTGCGAGCGGGAGGCCTTGCGTTCCTTGTCTGTTTTGAAGGCGCCTTGGAAGTCTTTGTCGGCCCGGAATCGCTCAAAGGCTTCATCGCTGTCATCGTGGTTGACCAGTTCCCTCAGCTCCTCGCAGATGTCTCTCTTCCGACGCACGTTGGCCCCCGGCTTTGGCGACCCTCTGTAATGGGATGGAGCACCAGCCGTCGGCTTCTTCCCCGCGGGGACGTCGTCGGCCGAGTCCCTCCTTGCGATCCTCTGCTTCTCATCGCCGCCCTCGGGCTTTCCAACTTCTGCTTTGTCTCCAGCCCGCTCCGAGACGTCCATCCCCCCCTTCGACGGTACTGGGTGAGGATTGTGCATGGAGGGCTGGCTTCTTTCTAGATGTCGGAAAAGAAAAAGAATATGTGGTAGTTACTGGGGGCTGATGTGATCAAGATGAGTGGAGTAGCGATGTATGCAGCCCAGGATGCGCTCACATTGTTAACGTCTTGAAGGTCCCGAGTAGGGTGGCTCGCGTTTCGGTGCTCAGTGCTCAGCCCTGGAGTCAGAAAGTCAGAGAGGCTGCTCGCCGATCACCTTGCGAAAGCAGCCATGGGGTGCCAGTCGCAGCCGAGGAGAGTGTCCTGTCTCGCCTGCATGTACCTTGACGGTGCGACAGACACGGCCACCACTATTAGTCGACACCACACAGGTTTTATTTAAGAGGTTGAGCCCATCCGAGCCCGGGGCCAAAGACTCAAATCCTGTCTCTCCCAAGACAACGTCAGCGCGGCCACCACAGATTGAACCACAATGGACGAGTTTGAGATTATCCTCGAGCCTCTTGCCGACGACGCCGAAGCGGGGACCGGTGGCCAGTACCGGCACAAAAACCAGCCGGGGAAGACTTATCGACGTGTCCTCCTGAACCGTGGAGATACGCTGTCCGCGCGGGTGAGGCTGGCGCTGTTGGGGCACGGAACCATCACCCCCAATGGCGAGGAGGCCAGCCTGCTGGTTTTTGACTTCAGGCTGATCAGCAACCGGGAGACGCAGAGGTTCGTCAGGGCCAGCTTTCAGTTTGTGTTCCGGGACGCCGCTGGCGACGAGGACATGGATCCAGACATCTACCGCATTGCCCCCGAAGGCATGTTCACCATCGATGCTCGAGCGGATCCCACAAACGTCAAGAACAACTTCAACTTGGGAGCAAACCTGGGTCTGCCCTATGGCGGCTTCAACGCCGGGGCTGGGCGAGAGACGGAGAAGGTCAAGATCAGGGCACACTCTGTGCGACTCGAGGGCGAACGGAGGGTCCTGGACAAGGACTGGGGCGACGACAATGCTGTCATCTGGACCATGCAGGAGGACGCCGACGAGAAAAAGGGAACGCCGTCGTTTCTGCGGGGCGCTCTCATTCTGCGGCGCAAGCCAGGGCGCCGGTTTGCCTTCAGTCTGGAAGCCGAGACTGAGGGCAACTTCAGCATCCGGGACACCATCAAGAAACTGTGCCATTTTGGCACGCGCGAGCACTGTGTACCCGTGGTGGAAGACTCGGTCATCACTGCGCCGACGCATGTCCTCGACGCCGAGGACCCCCTCCTGTCCGAGTACGTGAAGAAAATCGACTGGTCGAACTTGCACGGGCTGAAGCTGCACGAAGATGTGGTGGTGCACACCATGACGGCCGTTCTGGGAGCCCAGCCAATCGCCGTGGAAAAGTCTGGTCTTGGAGCGGCCGGCGCTGCAGGCGCGGCAGGTGCGGTCGCTGTCGAGGGCCAGCCAGCCTTGCCAGCCCAGGCAACGGCATAGCTTTGCTCGGGTTTATTGCTGAATATGGACGGTGCGGGGGACTGGGGGGTTGGTGCAGAAATCGCAGAGAGTCTTTGTCCTCATTCAACATGATCGAAAGTCGTGCTCAGCCTCGAGCAAATATTGATTATTGAGCTGCAGTATTACCTTACCTCTCGCATCCGTCCCGTCTTAATCAACTATGTCGCTGTCTATTTTCACGGAGTACATTCCAAGCAAAGTAAGAGGCGAATTGATCAATGCCACACCCAAATTCAGCTACGGCGTTGATCAAAGGACCTCCAACCTTGCTCCTTATATACCTAAACATTACAATGTATATCTCGAGACTCCCAATATTATACCTCTACAACATTGCGATTGCATACCAAATCGCCTAAAAACGCAATAACTTTCAATTGTAATAAAACTTCAATAAAATATATGATTCCCAACCTTGTACATACCTATATCAATTAGGAGTCTCGAGCAGATATTGATTCTCGAAATGCAGTGGTACCTCACCTCTCGCATCATCACCAATAACACTGCATCCCATGTCGACCTACCAACGCCCACGCCAACACACCTAGACAGTCGGGTCCAGGCCCCCCCCTTGTCTTTTGCTCAGCAGCTCATCGGGGGGGGGGGGGGGGGCGCTGCCAGCCAGTTGTAGGTACATGCAACTGGCCCATGGCATTTGTCTCCCTCTCATTGAGGCGGAACCACTCGGCCTCGTGCCCCCGCGCAGTCTTTGGCTCCGGACCCCAACCAGGAGGCTGTTCCGACGTTGACACACATCCACGGCGGTCATGCTATGTTAGCAGCTAGAAGTGAACTCAAGGAAGCATAGTCTCTGAGAGAATGGAACAGGTGCAACTCCATACAAGGTGGGTGTTGACCTTGCCCCGTCTTAGCACCCGCAAATCTGACAAACCTCAAAGTGTTAGGATATTGATTGTCACGGGGGTCCTGGGGGAGCAGGCTGTGCACGCAGCGGCCGAGGAGGATGGTGAGGAAACGCTCCCACATACACCCATGGGGTTCCTCGCACAGCATTTCCCTCAAGCAGGACTCAACACATTCCATGGCATCAAGAGTCTCGACCAAACGTCGACAAAAGAGTCCGCCCACATCCCCGAAATAGACCTTAGAGAGCGCGCCGAGGAGCTGCTGCGATACCTCGATGCCGAGCGAGCACAGCTTCAGGAAGATTCCGGGGCTCACCTCCCCCGGTGGATCATCATCTGCCATGACATTGGGAGTTATGTTGTTGAGCAGGCGCTTGTCCTCGCCGAGTCGGAGCGTTATTACCATTGGATTAGGGAATCGATAGCTGCAATCGTATGAAGAGCACCTTCTCATTTTCCCGAAACGACCACCTGCCTTCAACTCTCAGCGCCGGTACATACCGTACTAACACCCGGTTGCCCGCAGATGCTGTTTGACACCCCCCACACCACGCTGGGTCGGCGTACGCGTGACAGACTAGTACTCCAAATCCTGGCGTCTTCGGAACTAGCACCTTGGCCAGACGTGGCGTCGTTTGTCCATTCCCTCCTGAGAGCCATCGATCAGCTTGAATGGGAGTCGCGACCCGTTCTGGAGGGCCTTCGCGTCGTCAACTTCTTCTCCAGGGGTTACCCGGACCAACAACGACCTGGAGCTGTATTTGAAGCTGACCCAAGAACGTGTGGCGGCCATTATCACAACAGTACTGCTACTAGTACGCGTCTCGATTGCGAAATTGGCCATGTCCTCAAGCTGAGGGGTGACGAACCGGCCGCTGATTCCATTGTCGAATCCATCAAGAAATGTCTGCCCAACAGCCCGAGCGGTGAGATTTACAAACTGCCCCCGCCGTGGATGGGAATACGAGTCTCACATCCTCGCAATAGAGCCACACGATGCCCGCACGCGGCTTCTGCAAGCCATATGGGATGTCCAACCAGAAGAGTATCGCGGGCGGGACTCGGTAACGCACTCACAGGCCCCTGCTGCGCACACCATCAACGATTGGGTGACCAACACAGACTGGTACCGCAGTTGGGTTGAGAACAGTGCCGAGAGCTGTATCTTGAATCTGGTAGGCCCCAGCGGTTCTGGGCTTACCCTACTGACATCCAAAATAGTCCGCCTCTTGCGTGAAAGGGGCGATCTCGTGCTCTCGTTCAGTTTTGCCGAGCGGGACTCGAACACGGCCGTCGGCCGTCCAGCCGAAGACCTGATCTTTTCGCTTTGCCAGCAAACTCTCCGGTCTCTCTTCCAGTCCCAAGTCCACCTTCCCTTGTGCTCGTGGCTCGTGGAGTGGTCCATCTTGACCAAGGAAGCCATGAAAGGCCTGTTGTTCTCGCTGGTTTCGACGGCTCATACTGGCGGGTCGCTGTATTGCGTCATCCACGGCATTCATCTCTTGGCCTCTAGAGCTCAGCAAGAGGTCCTCGGTGATATCAAGGGTTTGATAGAAGCTGCCCAGTCACCCTTGACGCTCAAGTTGCTACTTGCAACTGACCGGGGAAATCTGTGCCAGGGAACCGGTTCGGATATTCCCTGCCATGTCGTTGACGTTGTGGAGGAGCATCAGAGACGCGAAACCATGAAATCTCTGGCATCGGCCCATCTGGATGCGCTCGCACTTTGCAGACCGGCTTGGAGGGAGAAAGCTCTGCGAGAGAAGGCAATCCAAAAGCTGTGCAATGAATCAGCTACCATGTTTGAGGTGGCTCAAAAGTTCAGCTTCCTCGAGACCACTGCCGTTCCCGCCACCACCTCGGCCATGCATGCGCTGCTCGACAGGGTCCCTGGTTCCTTGGAGGCTGCGCTTGATGATGAATGGAGAAAACTGACGCGGCCCCGCGCGGTTGAGGTGGCTGCTGTGCCCTGGGTCCTGCATGCTTCTCGGCCCCTGAGACCATCGGAGCTTGCCGTCTGTGTTGCCCTCAGCATGACGACCGACACCCAAAGCTTGGATCAGTTCAAATCTCACATCTCGTGGAACCCCGCCGACGACTTGCGACGGGTATTGGGACCCATCATTGTCGTCTCAGGGGACAGAGTGCGGGTCCGACACCAAACATACGGCGATTTCCTGCGGAAGAAGTCGGGACCCGATTTGCCGCAGGACGGCCACCTTTACCTCCTATCTCAGTGTCTCAAGTATCTGAATCTTATTGGCAAGCACTGGGTACCGCCGTCGGCGGAGCCGGGAAGATACGGGCTGTCGAGGGAGTCTTGGCTGGCAGAGTACGCGTGCCTCAACTGGGCCCATCACCATCGTCATGCGCTTGACAAGTTCGAGGCCGCCCGCCAGACCTGCGAGTTACGTCCAACGCTGAGAGCTTTTCAACCTTGCTACGCATGTTTGGCTACTTTCGAGTCAGTCGCCATGACGGCAAGTTGCCTACCTCGGCCGTGGAAGTGGCCGCACATTTTGGGCTGGTGGAAGTCGTAGAACAATTCCTCGGGCAGCCCGGCTTTTGCGAGGACTCCTCCGAACAGCTGAGAGTGTCTCTTGACTCTGCAGCGCAAGGCGGGTTTGTCGAGATTGCCAAACTGCTCTTGAACCGGGGAATACGCAGCCCCGGTGCCCTGAGGAAGGCAGCCCGGTTCGGCCACGATGGCGTTCTCCGTGCGTTGCTGAACGGCGACGGCGAGCTCGACTTGGACGCGGTTGACGAAAACGGCTACAATGTGCTTCTCGAGGCTGCGAGGGGAGGCCACATCAAGGCCGTAGGCGAGCTGCTCGAACGGGGCGCGCCCGTCAACTCGGCCACCAGTACCGGGCTCACTGCGCTGCATCTTGCCTGTAAGATTGGCCAGCTGGACATCTCACAAACGCTTGCAAACAACAGGGCCGACCTTACGTTGCAGGACAAGTCGGGCTACAGCGCTGTGATGTACGCGGCCGAGGGAGGCTTTACCTCTGTCGTGCGGGCTCTGGTACGATGCTCAGAACGGGGGCCACTACCCCTTGGTGACGAGAACGGCACAGACAAGGAAGAGCCACAAGTCACTCCGTGTTCCCCTGTCAACATCAACGCTGCCAACAGCGACGGGAACACTGCGTTGCACTTGGCCGTCTCTGGGGGCCACCGAAGCACGGTCAAGCTGTTGTTGGAGCTGGAGGCTAGCCGCTCCGTCAAGAACCATGTCGGCCATACTCCCCTCCACATCGCCGTGCAATTTGGGCATCTGGGTATCACGGCCGACCTCATCAATGCTGCGTCTGCAACATCTGAGAAAGGCGATGATGATCGAGGGGATGAAGTTGTCCAGTTTGGCTCGAGTTTGTCGCGACGGCCAGCTGTGAGCCCGCTCGAGATCGCGGTACAACACCGTCATCTGGGCATCATCAGGGCTATCTTAGGATCACGCCACCACGTGAACAAGAAAACCGCCGCAAATGCCGTGTCCTATGCTTGTGCGATTGAGTACCCCCAGGGTGTTTTGGAGATCCTACGGTGGTACAAGGAGTCTGAACCGGACCAGATATCACCGTTGGGCGATGCCGAGAGAAATACCGCTCTGCACCTGGCCGTTGAGAGTTTCCAGACCGCTTTGGTTGGCGATTTACTCGAGGGGAAATATGTGCCTGTGGATTTCCCCAACGATCTGGGTTGGTCCCCCCTTCACATCGCAGCCAAGACGGGCCAACTCGCAGTCATCCAGCAACTCCGGCAACACGGAGCGAGCATAACCCAATCCACAAAACGTGGTCAGCTAGCTCTCCACATAGCCGCACAGCATGGCCAGGGGCCCGCTTGCAAAGAGCTGCTGCCGTGGAAAGGGGGAGAAGAGGAAAAGGCTGCAGTATCACTTTTGAGGACCAAAGACGAAGACGGTTATACGCCCCTTTTTCTAGCAGCTGCTGCGGATCACCTTGGTATCGTGCGAGAACTGCTGGAGCTCGACAAGGGGGGTGCAGGACAGGGGCTTCTTCATCTCGCAGTCGAGAAGGACTCGGAAGAGTTGCTCAACATCGCGATCGCCTCATCTCCAGATCTCAACTGGAAAGATGACACTGGAAACGCTGCGATTCACTTAGCCGTCCGGAAAGACAAGGCCGCAATAGTCCAAGCGCTCCACAAAGCTGGGGCAAGTGTCTCCATTACCGACGAACAAGGTCGCACTCCGCTCTACATCGCCGTTGAGGAGAAAGTTCTCGGCACCATCAACGCGCTTGTCGATCTCGAGGGTGCAAATCTCAAGCCCAATGAGCCGTGTGATGGTATTACCGCGTTTCTTAAGGCGTGTTACGACTTTACGCTTGACCCGGATCGTGGCCTCGAGATTACCCGCCTGCTGCTTGAAAAGTTTCCCCCAGGATCATCTTCAGGTGATGGCATCGAGATCAACATCGAAGACCCCGAGACGGGCCGCACGCCGCTACACTATGCTAGCGACACGGGGTCCGACGATCTGACAATAATTCTGCTCGACTTGGGTGCGAACCCGAACAAGCCCAACAACCGCGGATCGACACCGATTCTCCTCGCCGCCGAGATGGGCAAGGTCAAGAGCGTCCAGGCGCTCGTCGACAAGGGGGCGAATTTCCGGATTGCCAACAACTCCGGCGTGACGCCGCTCCACCGCGCCGCCTACGACAACCATGCAGAGTGTGTACGTCTCCTGCTCAACCTGGGCGCCGACCCTAACTTTGCCAACGACTGGGGCTACACACCTGTCGCACTCGCCGCGCTGCATGGCCACGTCGAGTGCGTCGGGGTGTTTCTCGATCATAACAAGCTGGACAAGCCGAACCCAGTTGATTTTGCGGTGAAGAATCCAGAGGGCTTGTGCATTCTTGGTTTGGCGGTCTCCGAAGATGAGGGGCAGGTTGTCGACCTGCTGCTGGAGCGCTTGGACGAAAGAGAGGTGCGGCTCGCCATACGCAACGCCGTGACGAGCGGAGCAGCCCATGTCGTCAAGACGCTGTTGCAGAAGACCACGCCAGTCCACGGCAAGCTGAAACTGGACGATGAGCGGTACGGGACACTGCTCGGCCTCGCGGTGGTGAAGCAGAGGAGCAGCGTTGTTAGCATGCTGCTTGACGATGGGTGGCCTGGCATGGAGGTTGACGAGACGGACGCTGACGGGAGGACCCCTCTCATGTACGCTGTGATGAAGGGAGATGGTGAACTCGTCTCGATGCTACTCAAAGCTCACGCAAATCCGAATCGCCGCGACGGAGCGGGCGAGACGCCACTTTTACGTGCCATCAAGGAAGAAGACCCTGGGATCCTGGCGTCTCTTATCGAGACCGAAGGCGCAGATTGGGAACAAAAGGACGGACGAGGTCACAGCCTCTTGTATTGGGCATGTCGGCTACCCGTGAAACGGGAGGTATTCGACACCGTCAACAACGCGCTCAAGAAATCTCCACAGTACGCACAGCTTTGCGAGTTGGCTGTTCACGGAGCAGTAGCTCGCGACAAACAGTATGCTCTGCAGGCCCTCTTGAGTGTCCCTGGCCTCAATCTCGACGCAGAGGACGCTGACGGCTGGACGGCGCGGTACACGGCAAGTTGCTACGACCTTCAAAGCGTGAATGACATGCTGGTCGAATCCGGCGCAAAAGTCGCTTGCCCGCCGGCCCCAAGGCCCATGGAATTGCGCCCGGGGGACCACGCTTGCGGTTTGGTTGTTGACAAGAACACGGTGGACACGGTGAGAGTGGCACGTATGTTGGGCTCGTTTTCCTTCTCTTCTTTCCCGCATCCCCCACACCCCCCACATCCCGTATCTTTCCCTTTTCCTCTTTTGCTTCATAAAAGCTTGAGCCGTAGCTGACTTGAAGCTACCTCCCTCAGGCGCCTGTTACCCACTGGACGATGAAGACTTCGAAGACGCCACATATGGCACCTTCCGGGCCAACCATTGCCTACCTGCCGACCGGGACTGGTACTTTGAGGTCCTCATTACAGCCCCCCAAGGCTCTTGCGAGGTCGTGGAGTAGGCCAAGTCCTAGTTTCTATCTCCGTGTGACGATCTGACTGCTGACCATTGCGTTTTGCCCGTTTGCCTAGCACTCTTGGCATCGGCATCTGTGAAGATTCCGCCGACCTCGTTGGGATGCTCGGGTTTGGTCGAATCGCATCGCTGTCCATTGGGTATCACGGTGACGACGGCGATGTTTATGCCTCCGGTCTTTCGTCCCAGAACCGGAACATCCCACCCAGCCAAACCTTCTCCAGCGACGACTTCTCGGTCGGGTGCGGTTTTGAGTGGGAGACAAAGTCGGTCTTCTTCACAAAGAACGGGGAGTACTTGGGTAAGTAAACCTATTCCCTGCACTTCCGGCTTGGGCGGTTGGCGTGGCTAACGGTGTCGTCCGCCGCTGCCAGGCAAGGCGTTTGTCAACATCCCGGGCGCGAAGTTGTACCCAGCGATCTTTACCAGCACGGCCAACGTTGGTGTCGAGATGTCGTTCAGGTTCAGCGGGCCATGGGATTTCGATCCCGATGCGCCTCGGCGGCAGCGGCCTGCAGAAGGCTCCGAGGAAGAGGACAGGGCGAATGATGGGCCGTCAGAGTCGCCAGACTCGGAAGCGGACTCGGACTCGGACTAAAAAACCGGAAGGCCTGGGCCCTTGAGAGATAACAGCCGGTCTTACTGACAGCGTATGATGCGGACTCAGTCCGACATGATCGGCATCCCAGTCATCCGCCCGGATATGCGCGAGACGACGGCTCTCGGTGCCGCCATCGCTGCCGGCCTTGCCGCTGGCGTGTGGGAATCGTTCGAGGACCTCGAGGATCGATGGGTGAAAGAGGAGGCATACGAGAATTGTCAAGGAAAGACAAGAGTGATGAGGAGAGAGGATGCCTGGTTTCGCTGCTAAAATAGAAACTCACTTATCGTGCCTTTCGGATATCTTCGTTATAGTGAAACCAATGTATCTATAGTTACATTGGGAGGATTTGGTACGAAAATGCAGTTAGCAATGCATTTAAAGCCCTTTGGTTTCCCTGAGGACCCTGGCTTATACCGGATTCGGATACCATGTTGATATGGAGATTGGTGGCGTTGATCTAATTAGTGCGAGGATGCTCGCCAGCCGAGGATGCGTGCCAAGACGTTAGGCCGAGAGGTTCCTGGAGTCAAAGTTTGCGAACTCTTTGCTCTTTCCACTGGATGAAGGAGTATCCGTAATAACCAGTGTAAATATAAATCGCAATGCTGAAAATTGTGCACAACCATTTCCCCGCTTGAGTCCATCTGTGGGTGATTTTTTCGGCGGGGTTCATGTCCAAGAGCACTGCAAAGTCAGATATGCATTGATAGAGTTAATTATTCCTGCAGTCTTGCGTCAAAGTGGTTTACCCCTCCAACCCCACATGTTGCTGTAATTCTAATTTTGACTTTCAACTGCACATCAACCAAGTCTGAAAATTTGCGTACACTCACTGTTAGTGTAGACAGACTTTTTCTAGCGCTTCCTCCTCGCCACCTTGATACCCACTCATATTCCTGCAAGCCGACACAACGACGCACGATCTCGGGCGACCAAAGCCACAATCTCTCCACCCCGCGGCCCACAACTCCCGAGACGTCAAAGCTATATTTTCTTTTCTTTCCGGAAACACACGAGATTGTCACGAACTGAAGCCGCCCGGGCCCTTCTTTCGACTAAGTGCCCGTAGTCGCAATGAGGAACCTGCGCAACATCGGGCAGAGCGTCTTCCGCAGGCCGTACCCCTCCGCGCCCTCGTCGGCCGCGTGCTGGGATGTGGCGCGGGACGAGGTGATTGTCGCGTGCGGGCCGCGCGCCGAGGATGCCCGTATCGAGCTGCTGCGGGTGGCCAAGGAGGGGGATAACTCTGCTTTTTCGTAAGATTCCCATTCTATGTTATGATTATAGGGGGAGCTACAGAAGGAATACATGATAGAATGGACATAGGAAGGAACATAAGCTTAGACATGTAGACTATCTGAACCCATCGCCTCGTGGGACGTCCCTCCCAGCGAGGACGCCAACCACCATGCCACCATCCGCAGCATGCACCACTTCAGCGACACCCAAACAACCTGTGTGATCATGTCCAACGGCGACATCATCACCGTCATCGAAGACGACGACAACCAGGACTTCGAAGCCAAAGGCCAAGCCCACGTCGAAATCGTCGGCACCCTCACCCCCTCCATAACCGCCGCCCGCTGGTCCCCCGACGAAGAACTCCTTGTCCTCGCCACCGGCGACGCCAAACTCGTCTTCATGAGTCGCACCTTCGACGTCATCACCGAAACCCCGCTTACCCCGGACGACCTCCGCTTATCCAAGCATGTGTCTGTCGGCTGGGGCAAGAAGGAAACGCAGTTCCACGGGCGCGGGGCTAAAGCCACCGCCCGGGCTGCCACCGCTGCAGCCGGTGCGGCCGCGACGAAGGGTGGTAACATCCTTCGGGACCCGACGATCCCAGAGACCGTGGACGAGGGCGTGCGGAGTGAGCGGGACGATGGCCGGTGCTCGATTAGTTGGCGTGGAGACGGGGCGTATGTCGCCGTGAACTATCTCCAGCCTGGTGTGCGCAGGGTGGTAAGGGTGTATAACCGGGATGGGGAGTTGGATAGTGTGAGTGAGCCGGTGGATGGGCTGGAGGGGGCGTTGAGTTGGCGGCCGGAGGGGAATTTGATTGCGGGTGTGCAGCGGGTCAAGGGATCGGAGTCGGAAAGGGTGGACGTGGTATTTTTTGAGCGGAATGGGTTGCGGCATGGGCAGTTTACGCTGCGGGTGCCGGTGGGGGATGGTGCTGCGGACGCGCTGGACGAGGTAGACCTACAGTGGAATGCGGACTCGACAGTGCTGGCGGTGGTGCTGCAGGATCGGGTGCAACTGTGGACGATGGGGAACTACCACTGGTACTTGAAGCGGGACATTCCCTGCAGCCGGTACCAACCACACCGGCCCTTATTCTCCTGGCACGCCGAGAAACCCCTCCGCTTCCTCACCACGGACTCATACCAACTCTTCATGCACGAATACGCCTTCACCATCTCGCGCGGCCCAACCCACGCTCCGTACGACCATGGTGCCGTGGCGGTCATTGACGGCCACACGCTCAAATTTACCCCTTTTCGCACGTGTAACCCCCCGCCGCCCATGGCCATGTGTGAGCTGGAGTTACCGGCGCCGGCTATCGACGTGGCGTTTACACCGGACGGTGAAGCCATGGCGGTGTTGCACGGGGACGGAGTCAGTTACTTTGCACTAGAAGCGAAAGGGTCGCGGTTGCGTGTGCCGAGGTTGGTGGAGGTGGTGGATTTTGGGATAGGGGCGACCGGGTCGGAGTATGATCCGGCGTCGTTGTTACAGATTGCCTTCTCTAGAGAGCGGGAGGCGCGGGTTTTGCATATGACGGTGTCTGGGTTGGAGCTGCTGCAGAGCGACTTCTCTGACCACCCAGAGAATGAGCCAAAAGCCTGGAATTGGTCCAATCCGAGGTCCGCCGTGACTATCACGTCCTCCGATTCCGTTGAGGCCCCTGACGCGATAATCCAGCATAGCTCGGGCCAGCTCAGCCGCAGTTCTGGCTGGACTTCCGGTTGGGAAATTGTCCCGCTGTCTGTGCAGTTCCCGACTTTGCTGCCCTGGATCAGCGTTGTTGTGCATGACGGCGAGACGCTCGCGTTTGGCTTGTCACGGAACGGCCAGCTCTATGCTAACGGCCGGCTGCTGGCTAAGAACTGCTCGTCGTTCCTGGTCACGGATAGTCATCTGGTGTTTACGACGGCGAATCATCTGGTCAAGTTTGTGCACCTGGCGTCTGAGAAGGGTTTGTATTTACTCTCTTTCCCTTTTTGACTTCTATTTCCCTTGCTCTCCACAACTCCATATCTGCTATGACCATGACCTAACCCAGCTAACCCTCCAGACCTGGACGTCCCCCCCGACGACCCCGAGAACGATGAACGCTGCCGCAGCATCGAGCGCGGCGGCCGCCTGGTCACGGCCATACCGACCAAGATGGCCCTGGTGCTGCAGATGCCGCGCGGTAACCTCGAGACGATCTACCCGCGAGCTATGGTGCTGGCCGGTATCAGGAGGTTGGTCGAGCAGAAGGAGTATGGCGTGGCGTTTGCCACCTGCCGGACCCAGCGCGTGGATATGAATATCTTGTTTGATCACCGGCCGGAGCAGTTTTTGGAGGGGGTTGGGGGGTTTTTGGAACAGGTGGGGGATCCGGCGAATGTGGATTTGTTTTTGTCGTCGCTCAGGGACGAAGACGTCACGCAGACCATGTACCGCGACACCAAGACCGGTCAGCCCGTGGATTTGGAGTCGAAACCCAGCAAACCCGGCAAGACCAACACCGTCTGCGATGCGGTCCTCCAGACACTCCAGAAGCAGAAAAAGGCCAACCTGCAGAACATCATCACGGCCCATGTGTGCAAGGTGCCGCCAGCGCTGGACGACGGCTTGCTCGTCGTGGCCGAGCTGATGCAAGAGGACGACGCGGCCGCCGAGCGCGCCGTCGAGCACATTTGTTTCCTGGCCGACGTCAACCAGCTGTACGACCACGCCTTGGGGCTGTACAACCTCGACCTGACCCTGCTCGTGGCCCAGCAGTCGCAGCGTGACCCCCGCGAGTACCTGCCCTTCGTCCAGCAGCTGCACAAGATGCCCGAGCTAAACCGCAAGTTCACCATCGACGACAAGCTCGAGCGCTGGGAGAAGGCCCTCGACCACCTCCATGCCCTCCATTCCCAAGGCGGCCCCTTCGCCGACGTCGAACAGTACCTCATCAAGCACCCCTCCCTCTACCCCTACGCCCTCGACCTCTACCGCCACCAGACCTCTTTCTACCAGGATATCACCGCGCTCTTCGCCAACCACCTCAAAGCCACCTCCCGCTTCCAAGAAGCCGGCCTCGCCTTCGAGTCCCTCGGCCGCTACGCCGACGCCACCGACAGTTACCTCAAAGTAGGCGTCACCAGCTGGCGCGAATGCCTCTTCACGGCCCAACAACAACCCGACTTCACCCCCTCCCAACTCACCACCCTCGCCACCTCCCTCGCCGACGCCCTCCTCGAAGCCAAAGACCACGCCTCCGCCGCCACCATCCACCTCGACTACCTCGCCTCCGTCGACTCCGCTGTCACCCTCCTCTGCCGCGGCTACCTCTTCTCCGACGCCCTGCGCCTGGTTGCCTTACACCGCCGTCCCGACCTGCTCCCCACAGCTATTGACACCGGCCTCGCCGACGCCTTCGCCACAACCACCGAGTTCCTCGCTGACTGTCGCGCACAGCTCCAAGCCCAAGTCCCCCGCATCGCTGAACTCCGCCGCAAAGCCCGCGAGGACCCGTTAGCCTTTTACGAAGGGGAAAACCCCTTTGGCGCGCGGACTACCGCTCAAGACGCAGATGGGATGATCCCAGATGATATCTCCATCGCCGCCTCATCGGGGATCAACACCAGCGCGAGTTTGTTCACGCGGTACACTGGAAAGGGGGCCGGGTCGGTCGGGACGGTCGGCACGGGTGTGTCCCGCGCGACGTCGAAGAATAGGAGGAGGGAGGAGAAGAAACGGGCAAGGGGAAGAAAGGGGACGGTGTATGAGGAGGAGTATCTTGTGAATTCGGTTAGGCGGTTGGTTGAGAGGGTTGCGGGAACTGTTTCTGGGGTCTCCGCTGCAGGGACGGGAAGCGGAACAGGGAGCAGTACAGGAAGCAGTACAGGAAGTAAAACAGGAACAGGAACAGGAGCAGAAACAGGCGAGACACAACGTCTAATATGGGGCCTCACACGCCGCGGCATGGGCGAACGCGCCCGCGCCGTCGAGGAGTTAGTCGCTGGTGTCTTGGATGGGTGTAGGAAGGCTGTCGAGGAGGTTTGGCCTTCTTCTACCCATCCCACTGTTACTCCCACTACCAACGCTGGTAATGGGACAGGCCAGGGAGGAGAAACAGAGGAGAGGGACCCCGCGGTGGAAGGATATCGGCCGGGAGGTGGAGATGGGGTGTTGTTTGATAGCTTGGAAGCCATGCGGGCCGCGCAGACGCCGCCTGTTGTGCCAGGGTTTGGGAGGTTGGTTTTGTTGGGGAGGGGGAGGACCTGAATATATGGTGATGGCTGGTATGAATGAGCTGGGTTGAATAAGTAGAAACATGGTGAAATGTGTTGGGGAAGATAAAGGGGGTCAATTTGCTGTGGCAAAGTTAACTAGGGGGGCTAGTAGTGGGGATTAGCATTGGGGATTAGCATTGGGGAGCATAAAAACATCATGAAAAGGGTCTAAAGGGTTTTGAAAAGGGCATTGTAAAAAAGGACGGGAAAGGGTTAAAAGGCTATATAAAAGTGTTGACAAAAAGGGTATGATACCGTTGGTTGCATGAGAAAGGGGTAAGTTATCGATGATTCCTCGCATCGCCCATCTTTCCTTCGCTGTGCCCGTTCCCTTTGACACCATCGTGGTAAATATTGGCCATGGCACCGTAAGTCGGTACCGCGCGGGGTAACTACTGTAGCAATGTAAAACACCGCAGGTGTAAATAGAGACTGTTATTATGGGTTCGGCTACTTGGGAGAGGGGGTGGGTGGTTCAGAACCTGATTACTTGGTGGACCAGCTACCTAATTGATCGGGTGTCTCGCCCGTTCGAGGCTGTTGTTCAAGGGGGTCGGGACACCCGACATTGAGGGCCTGTTATTTCCGATACTTTTGTTCCATCACTCCTTTGCAAGTATCAAACTATTTAACAGGTAACTCGCTAATCCTGTCGTCGACGCTCAAAGGACAGAGAGAGGGTTTTGTAGGACACTCACTCACTCACAATTCCCTACATACCATACATACCTCGGTCTCCGTCTCCACACTACAAACAGACGTCTGTATGGTTAACCATCTCCTGTGGACTCTCCCGTGTGCAGACAATTATACAACTCCTTCCACTAAACTACGTAGTGACCGACCGCCAATACCTCTCGCCCATCCACCACGGAGACGGGCCCGTTCGACATGAATGGCCTGATATCTAGATGCGTTAGGCAGCCGTGTTCGGCCGATCGGATGAGACTTATGCGTGGGCAGTATCCGCGTCGGCATCGGCATGGGCATCGATATCCGCATCGGCTAGTTGTATCTCGGTATCGCCCGGCTGTGATGTAACTATCCCAAGTGCAGGAAGCAGAGAGAACTTCCTCTCACTCTCGTCCACCATCAGTAATCATGCCGGTTGGATTGGCCGACTGCCCTGTTGGCTGGTTGGTTGCAAGGTCAACTGGTTGCAACCGTTGGCTGGCTGGCCGGCTGATCAAGCGGGTAGGGCTGGGCAGCAAACGGGTGGGGGGGGGTTTGTCATGCATCTAGAGTTGGGTTCGGTGTTGGGCGGGGAGTTGGGAAAAATGAGAATGGTGAGGGTGAGTTTTCTTCCCCACCTTACTCCCTCCCGGGCTTCGACTGAGTTTACAACTGCGTGATATCCCTTTCTTCCCTTGCTAGACTCCACCGAGAATCATCCAACCGTGAGACGGTCAAGGTGAGATAGACACACACAGAGAGAAAAGGTTCTGAGACTCAAGTCACGTCAGACAAACGCCTTCGATCGTCAGCCGACAATAAAAAAAACATCGCCCACCCTACCCGTAATGCCTACCCGGAAACTCATAAACGAACTATGTGTAAATTAGTATGTATGTATGTACCAACCCAGTAGCTCATGTCCCGCGCGGTCTCGAACCGTCGGTGGCCGGTCAGGCTGTTTCAAGAAACAGGTTTTTCTCTCTCCCCTCCTTGCTTTTGTTCCTTCTCACGCCATTTTTTTTTTCGTTCTGGGTGAGCGTGTCACGTTATGCAAGGTTCGAGCGCGCGCATACATGGCTCGGCAGGCAGACGAGCGGGTGCGGGTGGATTTTTTTTAGTCTACCGTCTAACGGGTTGCTGGCTGCTGGTCGACCGACAAAGCTTGGTGCTCGTGGTGTTGTATCGTAGCCCGTTTGGCACTCGTTCCATCCGTTTTGGGGGGTGGTGAAGAGATGCAGGGTGGAGGAAGGACGCACTGGAAGAGGGGGAATGTCAAGATGGATTCAACCACACATCTAGTGTACTATGAAAATGACCGGTTTGGGAATGGCGGCTCAGATCGGTCGGTGCCTCAGCACTATTGGAGGGATTCGAGATTTGTTGCTAAAAAGCAGTTACCAAGGCGGTTTCTCCGAGTCAATTCGGGGCCTGGCACGACCTGCGGCTGCTGAGGTGAGCGCCCTTGCACAACCGAATGTTCAGCCCAGATACCTGCAGGCATAGGGCGTACAGACCTACGGAAACTTTGCCGGACCATGAAGACTGGGCTGAAAATGCGCCGACATCTCGGATGAGGCGTTGAAAACATGGGTCTCAACTTAGATGCCGTGGCTGGTGAAGATAGATGAGAAATTATCAGGTATGGTTGAGACGGGCCGACCCAGAGGCCGGGTGGACATCGCGTGGGAGGAATGGGCCAAGACTTCCGGAGGGCGACTCCGTTTACATCAGAGACCGGCTCCTGTCCCGATTCCCGAAGCGGGGGCTCCCGGCGGGAGTGTCTCAGGTGAAACACCTTGAACGGCGATGTGAGGTATCTGTAAGGTAACGTTAGCTGGCCAGGACAGCAACCAGCAGCTCCCACACCGACACATCAATTTGGGCGGGGCAACGATGAGTGATGAGCGATGAGTTGTTCCTTCGTCCCAAGTCTTGGTCCGTCAAGTTTGGGTAGTGTTTCAAAGGTGGGAATGAGATCGGGAAGATTGCCCGGCTCCGATAACGAGAATTGTCGAGGTGCCGGTCCCATGGGAAAGTAACGTCCCCTTGCTCTGCTTTGGGAGTTGACAAGGGGCAGACAGGGTGTATGCTCGAGATACCCCACGAAATAGCGGCAAGGTTGATAACGGCCCAGAGCGGCGAGAGCGGCCCTCCGTTTCATGGGGATCCCAAAACTGGATCCCAAAATGGGAGGGCAAACACAATCCCCCGCCCTCGCACGTAAGTGGCATTGTTCTCGACCTCTTGCTTGGGTTCGCAATGTGCCGATATCCGGTCGGTCGGTGCTCGAGACCGCTAGAGAACGCGGCGCCTGCAACCTCCTGCTTTGGGTTTCCAAGGAACCGCTCGGTAGCTGCCCATCTCAACCCCACCAAACCCTGTGAGCATGACCAAGATTTCCGGGTGGTGGCCAATGGGGTTCGAGCGCCCTGACTCTTGTTGACGACCGGAAAGCTAAGAAAGATCCCAGAAATGCTCTGAGAGTATTTTGAATCTCGATGTCTGGTCCCGACGAGTTTTATCTTTTTTCCTTTTTGCCCATTTTCCGAAGCTTGTACTTCCCCGCGGCTCTCGCTGTTGGTGGTTGGCCGAGACGCATGCATGCAACCTTCCAAAGGGTCCTGCTCCCAATGACGACAAGAGTGCGGAATGACGTCGCGAAACAGTCGGACCTCGTGCTGGTGCTTAAGGCCCCACTTGTCGATAGAAATTTCTGGGCCGGGTGAGACCAGCGGGTGCTGTGGGTCTTCCCGCCTCCGCAAATGCAATATCGGGGGGTGACTGTCGAGCTCGAGGACGTCTCACCCCTCGTTGACGATGTCTCGTGGAGCGTAAATAGAAGTCGTTAATTCGCCAAGATGTGTCCCCCGTGCAAGAGGAAGTCTTCGGCAGGGCCAAGAGTGATACACATGCCTGTCTGTGCGCCGAGATCGGTATCAACCCCCCGAAAGATCCGCTAGCGGGATCCCCATTCTACTGCATGAAGTCCCCAGCAGTGAGTTTGATGAAGTCCAAGACAAACAATACATGCACTAGCTGGCACTAGCCATAAGTGGACTGAGGGGATCACCTTTGCTTGCTGATGGCCGCAATTCTGGGGGTGACAAATCGAGGTCAAGTATCGTGAGATCGGTCAACGTGAAAGGGTGCCATCCCGTGAAGTTTTTGGGACGGGGCTATCCGGTCCCTGCATGCGGTGCGTCGCTCAGCGACATCCCCATTTCTTTCTGGGGTCACCGTAAAATCGAGTGACCACGACACGTCAACGCCAGTCCGGGTATTTTTTAGGCAGGACACGGCGAGGTCAGATGATCCTGACCCCTCTCCCGAAACCGCTCGTTGGGTATATTTGAGGCCCTTAAACGAATCGTACTGGAGCACTCTGGGTGGGAGATTCGAGGCTGGTGTGGTGAGGAACGAAAGACAGGATTGAGATGGGCCCAAGACGAGGGGTGGGTTGTGGGGCCCGACGCTGAGCGAATGGGATCAACGCTCGGAGACCATATCCCGGGATGTCGATCACTTCGAAGGGCTGGTCCATTTCTGCTGGTGTGCTGGGCGAAGGAACCCAATTAAGGCAGGTACCTAATGAGAGTCAGATGTAACCGATGAGAATTCCGCCGGCCGGTCTCATTCTCGTCGCTGTGTGGTCTTCTTCGCGTCAGCAGGGTAAAAGTTTTGAACACACAAAAAATTCGTTGCGGGGTTGAAGTCTGGTGTGGGGTAATCGAAGGGCCCGTTTTAGCGATAATGCTAATTTAATCCTGGGTATAACGTTACAGAACCTGGACTTGGATAATGTGCTGGACGCCAAGAACAAAAAGAAGAGAGAAGAGGAATTGAATAACGATAAAGGTAAAATGACAGCAAAAGGGGAAGACTCTCGATCAGGACAGGCTTCTCGCCCCGTTTTATCCCTTTCCTCCACCGACTTTGCAGAGAGCAGGCACGACGTCTGGGTATCTTCGTGGTTGTGAGAAACCAATCAAGGATGGGCGGGACCCCACCCAGACACTTTTTAGGGGTCCATGGTCAAACCCGCCTGGCCCTTACGTCACACCTCAAAACGGAAGCCACCCATCTGGGCGGAGCAGGGAGACCGGTACCTGCCCACGCGCGCGCCACGCTCCTCAAGCTCTCACACGAGCAACGACTTGCAAATGGCAGGATCCCAGAGAAAAGAATAAAATTGAGCCAGGGGCAGGCTACTCCCCGCTAGGATCAAACAAAATACAAGAACAGAACCCAAACAACAAAGGCGCTCGGAGATGACAAGAGACCAAAGGACAGCTGGCGCGATGAATATCTCGTAGGATATTTTAGCTTTGCACGCCCCTTGTATGTACATGTACACTACCCAGCTTGCAGATGGCCGTTTTAGGACCTGCACTCGACAGGTTCAACGGGCTTCTTAAGAAAGAGTATTGGATAATTGAAACTGTGCGCATCCCACCTCTGCGGTTCTCCACATTTTCATCAGAATGGCATTTGTCTTGATCGTCCGTCCCCTTGACGAGTTTCCCCCACTGTGATTGAACCCCTCCACTTTTGTTCATCCTTTGCTGTGTCAAGCGTGGTTCTGGTGGCTGTCTGCCCCCCTTGTCGGGATTACTACCGTCTGCCTCCTTCACTTACCCCCCCTTTAACCCCGCCATAAAATTTCGCGCTCTATCATCACCTTGTCTGCTCACGCGAACGGGCCGAGAACGCTGATTGTCTCGCCTTGCTGGTATCCTCACCTCTTTCGCAGAACTACGAGTTGTCTCTTCACACCATATTCATTCATTCACGTAACAAGTTAGGAACCCCACATCCACTCCGCTGCTAGGGTCCTTAGCCTTCGTTGACGCACGAATCAGTCCCGAGGCGGAAGCTCTCGAGAACCTCACCCCTTGCTCCACGGTCTACCTCAGACGCCGAACTCTCAAACAACCAGAACGCCGTCCGGGCAAGGTCTCCGTTTGCGAACTTTGCATATCTTCCTTTTGTGAAGTGTCTGTGCTTCTGTACCGACCTCCCTTTTGATAGATTGTAAGCCCATCTTTTAAATCTTCGCTTGTCGTTCGACCTAGTCTTCCATCTACCCAACCCCGCGGCTATTTTCTTTTTCCTCATCGGTTACGCGATCCTGTGGCGCGTGCTTCCCTCCACCCATCACCTCCCTTCGCTATTACCACACTGCTATTGCGCACGAGCAACCCGTCACTTCCTCCCACCACACCCTACCCTCCTACTTCGCGCACCTCCCCAAAGACCCAAAAAAAGGGAAAAGAGGCACGCGGCACGTATTTCTCCACGTGCTTGCCCAGGACGCCCAAGTCGCCCAAAAGAGGACAATCGTTGGCACCCAAGCCACACCATTGCCGACTTCCCCTTCTGTCTCTACTTTGGACCTTCTTTCCGTCCGACAGTGTTCCCTACCTTATCGGTTCACATACCCCAGCGCCCGATTATCTACTTCATTTCTCTACCTCTAATTCCGGCCAGCCATTGTGCGCGACCCATCCCCACAACTATGGCCACAGCTACGGCGAGGATCAGCAACAGGGTCGGTGGTTTCGATATTTGCCATAATCTCGGTGGCTAACGTGTAAGAGGATTGCTTAACAGGACGAGCAAGACGTCGACGAAATGTCTGAAACGCCTGACTTTGGAGATCATGTCGACAACACCATCTTCTCACAACTCCTTGAGATGGATGACGATGACGAACGTGACTTCAGCGGGCCCCTAGTTGAAAACTTCTTCGAGCAGGCGGATGAGACTTTTGTCAATATGGACCTTGCCTTGTAAGTTTTGAGCCCCCTCTGACATTTAAAAGTTCGACAAGCCACCCAGCTAGTTTGCGTGCGATTTCTTCGTCCGACCCCTTGCTTTGCCTGGCCTATCCTTCACGTCTATTCCCACCCGTCTGTTCTTGTTCACTGCCTTCGAGCAACCCCTTTGAAGGAGGGAGAGAGCGCATGTACCAAACCCCACCTAACAAGTAGAGCCATTGACTAACCACCCCACTCTCCCGCTTCCTAGAACCAAAAAGGACCTGGAAGAGCTTTCTAAGCTAGGTCACTTCCTCAAGGGATCTTCTTCAACGCTCGGATTCAACAAAATAAGAGATAGCTGCCAAATCATACAGCAATACGGTCACAAGCTGAACGTCGATGGCAGCGACGAGAAGGACGAGAAGGTCTGCCTCACTAAGATTGAGGCGGCCATCCAGGTGGCTAAGGTCGACAAAAAGGAGTTAGAAAAGCTCATGAACGACTTCTTTGGAAAGGCCAAGTGATAAGACGCTAGGGGACACCGCTTGTTTCCGTTTTGTTTGGTTTTTGGCGCCGACCCCAGGCTTGATGCCGCGCATCCTAGCCCGACATTCTGGGGGGTTATAACACGGGTTATATCACCCCGATCCCTTCGGCTATGACAGCAACGAACGACCAGCCTTGGGTTGCTTTGTTTTGGAACAAACCGACCGGGACCGGGGCGGGCCCACGAATGTTGGCAGATGGGCAGTAGCAGGCCGGGTTGCTTTAAGGTTTTGAAAGAGGGCAATGGACGCCCGGCAGGAGAGTTGTTTTTTTTTTTGCCAACAAGTCCAAGAGATACCAGAGTAGAGGAGGATAAGATCAGGGTCTACGGACGAGAGGGATATTCGAGAAATGGGTATGGGTCATGTACATCTGGACATTGCTCGGATTTTGCAGCAGTTGTTTGTAGCTTACTGGGAGCACAAACCTACGCCGGTAGGGCACGGGTAGTCGTATGTGTGCATGTTAGCCCGTTGACATTGATGGGGAATGATGATTATGGTTGGGTTGTCTGGTCTAATACTGTGCGTAAATTTGAAAGTGATTCACTGCCGTTAGCAATTTTCATGACACACTGTGGGCACATTCCTCAACTATAACCGGCCAACCCTCAGGTCACAAGAAATTCATGGGACGCGTTGAGGTTTTTTTTTTTTCCTTCTCAGATGGAAGAGGTCCTGCTGAAAGATGGGAAGGCGCACGGACCATGCTACCGACCTCACTTTCACCCAGCCTTGAGCTGCACAACATTTCCCAAACACTGAAAACACCTTCCACTCTGAGCTCAAACATGATCACTCTATATTACTGTTAACGCCTGAGTCAAAAGCTTTTCCCAGTGGAACCCCCTTGTTACACGGCCATTATAGTCACCAGCATTATACTCACCAGGACTGCCATAGCTCACCTCAACCTTTCAACAACCTCCAGGAAGGACATTGTTTATTAGCCATCCGCTGGTTATCAACATCTTGAAACCCAAAAAAGGTCAAAGAAAATTAAGGAAATAAACAAGCCCCCTACATCATGCCCCAACCCCCCAAAAAACCCTCCCCCACCCACTTCCTCTGCATCCCTCTCGTCACACCAGCCTCCCGTCCCCAACTATCCTCCGCCTTATCCACTTTCCGCGCCGATGTCTCTGCGCCACTGTCAGCAGGCGGGTTCGACCTCCCGGCGGAGGCTGTCCGGCCGGTTGGGACGCTGCATTTAACGCTGGGGGTTATGAGTCTTGTTTCGCCAAAACAACAAAGGGGGAAAGGGAGAGGGGGGGATCAAGGGGGGGTTGGTGATGGCGGGAGTGGGGATGGAGATGGGGAAGGGGGTGGTGAAGGGGAGAATGGAGCGGAGGATAAGTTGGTGGTGGCGAAGGAGGTGTTGGGGAAGATAAAGCTGAGGGAGCTTTGGGAGGAGGTGGTGAAGGAGGGGAGGAACAGGCTGGCGGGGAGAGAAGGGTTGGTGGGAGTCACATTAGGACAGGGTCTTGCTGGGCTGGTAGGCCAAGGGGGGTTGCAGAAGACGTCGAAGGCAGATATCGCCCCCGAGGAAGCACGGGGGGACGAGAAGCCATCAGGGGTTGGTCCCGAGGAGGACGAAAGCCCGAGAATCACCCTCCGTGGCCTGGCTGCTATGCAAACACTCAACCAAACGTCGGTCCTCTACGCACCACCGGTTGACCCGTTCGGCCTGCTGCAATCATTCTGTGAAAAAGTTCGGGGTCAGTTCCAGGAAGCTGAACTCATGATTGACGAGGGACGGCCGCTGCTGTTGCATGCTACGGTGGTGAATACGGTCTATGTGAAGGGGAATAAGCGAGGGACGGGTAATAAACGGGGAAGAGGGGGTCGCGGCGGAGGGGGAGGGAAGAAATGGGAGCGGCTGGTGTTCGATGCAACGGGGATTATTGATCGGTATGAGGACCAGGTGTGGATGGAGGATGTGCCGGTTAAAAAGGTGGCGATATGTCAGATGGGCGCGAAGAAGGTGGTTGTTGATGGGGAGGAGGATGAGGCGTATGAGGTGACGGCTGAGGTTGAGATTTAGGTTTGGTGTTTCCGTGACATGTGGATGTTGTATTTGATGTTAGAATACCGTAGTTTTTTGGTGGTTTTTTTTTCCTTTTTTTGGTACCTAACATTAGATCCAAGATTTTTCATCGTAGGGTTTTCGATGTTTTAGGCGTGATACCCCTATCACCGAAAACATAGGGGCAGCTATTCAGGGGCAAGACCCACTCCAACCCCCTGGCGGCCCTCAAAGGGAGCTTGGGCCACCCCCGCATCTTCCCGCGGCCCCATCTCATCGCTGATTCAGACCCCTGTCATCTGCTCTGGGCAAGGCTGAGCGAATACCAGCAGCCTGGCGCCCACGACAGCGCAGACGCAACCATTCACGGTTCGCCCGACCAGGCAGCTGCAACAAAACTTGCCCCCGGAATTGGTCAGCGACAAAAGTTCTTTGTTAAAAAGTACGCGTACCCTCCGCCGGCCGGAAATGTGACATGATGCCGTTTGCGCACCTCAAATCCCGCACGCAACGATTCTCCGAGTACCGCGACTTCGCTTAGCGAGCACCCAGCATCGCAAACGAGAACCAACAGCCGACTTCGGTACCACAGCCCGATGCCTCGAAAGGAGATGGCCTCGCCAGCCAAGCGCCGCCCGCCCCCAGCCACGGGGGCCAAACCCGGCAACAGCAGCACCAGCAACAACAGCACCAACACCAGCAACCCTCGTTCCCCCCCTCGACCAACTCGTACCTCGCCGAGTAGCGCTCGCACGACCAATACCAAAACCAACAACTCGACCGCTGTCCCTAGCACCCTTATATCACCTCCTCCACGCGCCGCCCTAAGCGGCGCTTCCTCCCCAGCCCCCGATAACCCGCGCAACACCACATCCGCCACCGCTTCCACAGACAGTCCCCGACTCGCCCCGATCCGAGCCTCATCTCGCAACCCCTCACCCGCCCCAGCCCTCCCCCCACGAAATCTAGCGACAGCAAACGCAGCATCCATACACCCCCCAGCACCATCACACCCACCCGACATGAGCCCCCTACCCAACCAGCCCAGCCACACCGGGCCAACCTCTGCCTCGGCCTCTGCCACGGCAACAGCATCCGCCGTAGCAACATACCAAGCCGCCCTCCGCGAGCGTGACCTGCGCATCGCCTCGCTGGAGCGCGAGCTGGCGCTGATGGAGTCTGAGTTTATACGTGAGCTGGATAAACTGAGCACTGCGGAGAGCGAGACGGCGGCATTTTGGCAGGGGAAGTGTGCGGTTTTGGAGGAGCGGGTGGCGGGGTTGTTATCACAGGGAGCTGGCGCGGGGGGTGTACAGGTTGGGGTTGGAGGTGGGAATGGAGTTGGGGGTGGGCATGGGAGTTGTACGAGGGAGTTGGAGCTGGAGGCGGAGGCGAGGGAGTTTAGGGGTGCATGGGAGCGGGCGCAGAATATTCTGGACCAGAAAGAGGGGGAGATGGCTAAGTTGAAAGCGCAGGTTAGGGGGTTGAAGGAGTGGGTGAGTGTGAGTACGCGGGCGGATGGGGAGGCTAGGATGAGTGATGAGGTGTTTGGGGAAGGGATGGCGAAGTTGGGGAATGGGTTGCAGAATTGGGTGCTGGTGAATTTTAGGAGGGCCAAAATCGGTGAGTGGATGTCTGGGTGTCGAGGCTCTCTGGGCCTGGTTGGCAGAGGCAGAGGAGAAAATGGACGGTCGTCACTGACACGCGCTACTACAGACTTGTCTGGGGCGGATGAAGCTACGATATCGGAATTGGCCCGTCTGGTGCCCATGTACGAAGAACTAGCCTCGACCTCGAAAATCAACTTGCTTCAGTCGGCTGTCTCGCGGTTGTTTGTGGAACTCGTGTTTGACGCCTACTTTGTTGGGCTCCCAGCGGATGTTGCAGCGCAGATAAAACAGGTGGAGGGGTTCCTCTCGTCTGGTAAGAGATATCGTCATTATCAACAACATGATTATTGGCGAAAATGGAGAAAAAAACTGATCGGTCCTCTGTAGCCGCAGCTTCGCCGGAATCCATCAACCAATGGCGCTCTCTAACCCTAACCATTCTCAAAAAAGACGCCAACGCTAACGAACCCAACAACCTCCTCGAACACGAAACCGCCGCCGTCATCCACACCGTCATCTCCCACGTCAACGCCCTCCTCGACCCTCTCACCCACACCCAGTCCAACGACACCCGCGACCAAGGCCTGCAGGCACTCGTCACCAGCGCAGTCGAGCTCTCACGGCTACTAGCGGTACAAAAAGCCGTGTTCAGCGTCGAGATGCCGGTGATCCTGCCACATCAGCGAACGGTCTTTGACGCAGAGACGATGGAGGATATTGGAGGGGGTGGGGACGGATACGGGTACGGGGATGATGATGATGACGGTGCGGATGCAGAGGGGGCCGTGGGGGATCGGCCCGTTAGGGAGATTTGTTGCGTCACGTTTCCCGGGATCATCAAGAGGGGGGATGAGAGCGGTGCGCATTTGCAGTACCGGAATGTCATTGCCAAGGCTAAGGTGCTTTGCGTGACGGAGTAGAGGGAAGAGAGAGTGGTTCTTTTCTTTTGGGGCTCAAATCTTAACCCTTCATTTGAGTTGTCATGCATGAGATTGCGGCCTGTCTGGGAGGTTTCACTTCTGCCCGCCTCTTTCTACGTATGACTGGACGTGGACTACATCGAGGGGCTCAAGCACGTCGCTGGAAAGGAAGCTGTGCTATGTGGCTTTTAGCCCCTCCTGCAAAGTACCTCGCCATGGTTGGTTGGATCGAACCCGGGTATCCGGGTGAGGCGGCCGATTCCTCGCACGTGAACCTGAACCCCACCATCACTTTGAGCCCGGGTACCAAGGGGCCCGAATCCGGGCGGTTCGTTTACTTTTCCGACGGTCCGACTGGATGCCACTGCCCTCCCAGTTCGTTATTTTGCATTCTTCCGGTTGGATGGGTTACGGAAACTGGCGGTCAGGGAGAAGGGAAAAAAAGGATGGTTACAATGGCCGGCAGCGATATCAGAGAGATTGGGATTGGGGATGGGCCGAGGTCGAGCTGGCACCTTATTGGCGTAGCAGAGCCGCAATATTGTGTCATGGGGAAGCTCGACATGGCCGGGACAGGTGCAAGAACGTTGCAGCAAGAATCCTGCATAGCCGACCAAGACTCAACCCCTCCATTGCTGATGTCGGTACCCGCACCCGGCCCTCATTGGTCGTGGCCTATGAGGAGAGATGCCGGGCTCTTTTTGGGACACCGGGTGACGACCCTGATCCAAGGTGATTCCACCGCGGAGACGTTGGAAACTACACTTGCCCCCCTCTCCCTCCGGAGTTTCGTCCACCGGTTATCAAAACAAGCTAGGCTAGTGATTCTATTCGAGCCACGACATCAACCTGCCTGCCGGTTGTGATGGCGATGATGGCGTGTGTTGCTCGCAGAGGCACCGAATGAAACCCTCGCTCCCTGGCTCGCCATGTGGTAGTATGTATGCCCGCGCACGCAACTCGCCCGTTTCAGAGCATGGGTATTTTCGCACGGTCAGGCCCATCCTCTTGGGTCTCAATGAAGAGGGGTTGCGGGGAGTCCCGAAGATCATATCGTGAGGAATCAACGCTAGTTTGAACCAAGCATTATACTAGCCTAGGGTGCTGCAGTGAAGCAATGCTGCGAAAATGGACATGGAGGCTACTTATTAACCTTGTATCCACGCAGTTTGACCCCAACAGTAAACAAGCTCTCCTATCGATCACCCTTAAACTCACTCACCCAACCAACACTAGCGTGTCGTCGGACATCCAAAGTACGTCAAAAGCTGGGGTTGAAGTTGAAATAAAGCTCGCCAATTCGTCGGTTGGGGGTTCGCCGAACAGCCACACGCGGCCCGATGAGATAACGAGTCAGATGAGCGCATGCGGCCGCGGCATGCACTCGACGGTTGGGCGGTTGAAAAGTCCCAGGAAACCTCATCCCATGGTGCGCACGCCGAGAACTGTTGGTTGTACCGCGGCATAACTCTCCAAGAGTCCAAGTCGTCCAAAACTCCCGATCTGCAAATCCCCAGAGATGTTCGGGGACCTCCTTCTCGAGCGTGTCACCAGTTGATAGGCCCCTTCGCGATATGGCGCATTTTCACACTCTCCATTCTCGTGGGTGACGCGCGCACTCGACATCGCCCGAGTTTCCCAACTTCCCTCACATGCCGATTTGATTTCGAGCGCGATCTCACTGCATCTGCGGGGAAGCGTGAAGACCGCCAGGCAGGCAGGCAGGCAGGCAGACGAGCGGGCGGGCAAACAGGCAGAGGAAATTGCGTGAAGACAGACGGGTTTCGTTTGCGGTCAAACTTCACACATTGAGTGGTTGCACTGGCGCCCGTCATCAAGCACTTGCCCCTTTCCGGTCCTTTTGTGTGAAAAGGATGTGTGTGAGACGGCTTGGGACGGGCCGCGATCACAGGCAGCGCTGCGATTTCGTGGAGCGCGAGCTTCGCGACAACGAAAGCCCCCCCGCTCTCCCCACCCTCTTTTCACCCCTCCAAATTGCGTTCGGGTACCTAATTGTTGGTTGGCCGGTCAGAGGAACTTATGCAGGAAATGCGATCGAGCTGCTGCGAACCCGATCCATTGGTGGGAACCGGTAAGACGAGTCGACCCGAGCCGAGCCCAAACCGAAGTCGTGGGGTTCTTTTTTCCCGATCGAAAAAAAAATGAAGACGAAGCGCGTCAAGCGTGACGGGACCTAACTCGGGACGCGGAGCGCAACCTTCGGACGGCCCGGGGGCCGGTGGGCTTCTGACGATATCTCGCGAATTGAATGGCTCGGTGCTCGGAGAACATGCATGCGATGCCACGCAGTTGGCTGGGGAAGTGCCTAGCATCTGGACATCGCTCAGCACCGTTCCCCGCTCCCACCCACACCCCAACTACCCCTCCAGATCGGGCATTCGACTCATCAGAGTCGACCCGAGCAACACACCCCAAAACCCCCAAAAGCGGGATCGAAGCGAAAGATCCTAATTGCCGGGGCAGGCAGAACGCGGCCGCAGCCCCCCTTTCCACTCCTTGTTTGCCATGTGTGTTCCGAGCAGGAAAGAATGACTGAGGATGATGCAGCGCCAGGTAGCGCAGGCAGGTGCGACAGAAGCAAAGAAAACGGAAGGGAGGTGGGAAGATGGGGGAATGGAGGAAGTGACGACTCACCTCGCACAGAAATGCTCTTATACCGTCCAGGCCCCGCCAGACTCCCCCCCAAATCATCAACAACCTCACAGACCTCCCCGTCCCCAATCAATTCTTCTGGCTAGAGCTCCAGACTCTCATCTTTCTTTTCCATATCCACCTCTTGCCGGCCGTTATCCCCCAAGACACTTCCGGGAATCCGGGTGACCAATATCGCAGTCATCCCAGCACCGATACCAAGAGACTAGACACTCCGGACACTGCCCGTCCACCAACCCCCTCTTCCTTCCGCTTCCTTGAGACCTGGGCCGTGTGTCTCTGTCTTGAATCCTGTCGTGTCGTAGGCTTGAGTCGAAGTCCCAGACCAGCGTCACCAACCCGCCCAGATATACGTCACAACCCTTCCGCCGTCAGAGCGCCACGTTGTTTCCCCATCAACTAGCCCTCACCATAGGCACAAACCACCCCGCCGTGATGGACACCGATCTCACTGAGGATATCCAAAACTTCCTTGTTACCTATAATACCGAGACACCCTATGGGTACTCCCAGCAGCCGTACGCGGGCGAGTACTCGGGCCAGCACTCGGACCAGTACTCGGACCAGTATTCGGGCCAGTACTACAACGAAGGCGGCTATGCCGAATCAGAGTACACAGCTGCCCCGACCGTGACGTCCGAGGCAACCACCATGCAGTCTACCACCCCCCGCTCTTGCTTTGGTGGAAGCTGCGTGAGCCGGCCTTCAACTCATATGACCACCCCGGACGATGTTGTGGTTGCTCCCCCATCCGTTGTCGGCCTTCATTACCAGAACCAAGGGGCTGGTGGCTCGCTGGCCCCCAACCAGGTCCTGTGGTGCGAGCATTCCCGGCTGCTGGGCTGTCCTGAGGTCTTCCGCCTCGATGAGGAGCACGAATGGATCGAGCATCACCTTCAGCATTTCGGGGGGAACCCCCCCCAGAACGTCATATGTTGGTTCTGTGACACTATCGCGTTTGCCTCGGAGCATCCCCGGGACGCTTCAGCGAATTTTCGGGACCGTATGCAGCACATCCGAGGCCACATCTTCGACGACCACTACACGAGCGAGTCCATGAGGGTCGACTTCCGCGTTATCAAACACTTGTATGCTCTTGGCGTTCTCAGTCCCGAGGCGTATCAGCACGCTATGTCGTGGGACGAAACACCGCCTCAATTCCGTCTTCCGAGCGAGCGCTCAGGATCGTCGTCGTCGTCGTCTTCGCATCAGCCATCGAGTCAAAGAATAAGGGGATATGCCCATGACCTGGACAAAGAGAGACGCCTCGAAAGAGCCAGGCGCAAGGAGGCAAAAGCTGCTCGAACCCGTTAAAAAGGGGGGGAAGTCCAAACTTAGCCAGCAACCGCGAGATGCGGGAACAGCCGAGACGGTGTGACGATATTATATACGTTTTTGAGACCCTGGACGAGGGAGAGTGGATCGTTGAAGGACTGGTCTGGTGTGCCTGGAACCTGACGCGTGTCCTGGAGACGCGTGCCCCTTTTTGGATGGGCTTGTGCTCAACGACGTTGACTCTGGTCGCCCCACCAACGGGAGTCGGGCTGAGCCCCTGGAACTCAAACTCCAGGCTGCGACCTTCACACAACAGGCATCGTCCCATTTGTTTGAGATTCTGAGAAATCCTATTCTTCTTTTGTGTCATGTTTCGTTTTGTTCTTTCTTTCTGGAGATTTGAATTGGAGCGTTTTCGTTTCCTTGGTCGGCCACTCTTCTCCACCCTTTTTGATGGGATGACGGGCACGCCACGTCGTCGATGGCGTTATGCCGGTGCAGGGCCAGGCTTCTGCTATTCGGATCCCCGACTGCCCGAGGCTGGTTCCCGGATTTCTGTTGGGAAAAGGCTGCTGGTTCGGTCGGTCCGGGTTGAGTCTCGACCATGTCCACCTCGGCAAGCCGAGACGATTTCTCGGGATCTCATTATGTTTCCCTGTGTTTCGTGTTTCTCATATTGAGTCTTCCAGCGCCACCCACATCCTTTTTTATCGCGGTTGTGTACCGTCTGTGTTTGCTCACCTCTCTTTGGTCATTCTCGCAACGTATTCAAGATGGACAGTCTTACCAGATACACAGTTGACGCCGCATTTCCATATGCTCGCGGAAGATAACAGGTTTTGAGCCATGGTCTCGCCTTTTGTTTGGTTGATATTTATATAGTCTTTTGAATTTGACTTTCCATTTTCTGGAACCCACGACGTGTCAAGTTGAAGCGGTGGCGGTTTGTAAGCGGGAGACGACGGTCGTCCCAAATTTTAGGAAATATACGACGTGCTATTTGGCGAGAAGCTCACTGACCGAAATTGACAGACATGATGAAATGATAATCGTAGCGACTAAATAAAGAGAAGGCTCAAATAAAATTAGGGAATAAAATACCTGCCCCCAGAAAATTTTCCACCGGAGATAGAAGAGGAGAAGGGGGGGGGG